TTGCTAGCTCAATTTAAAACCAAAGACTCTGTAATATGTCAGTGAGACAGCTAGATCAATTGGAAACCGAGGTATCTACAATATTTTGGGAAAATATCAATTCTACACTATTTGTTTAAAGGAGGATATCCATAACAATTCCAAGCCATTCTACTTTGATAGCACCAGTATACCATGTATCAAAGGTATCATTATCAGAGATATTTCACCTGTAGTAATAGTTCTATACCCCTGCTGATATTATAACCTTCACCTGTTAACCTTGTCAATCATTTGTCAATCAAATCTATTTGATATATTTTTACTTATCATGTACTATGGACAGGTGTGGTGATATATAAACGACTTATCAATGCACTGAACCATCTTGTTTAAGTTGCTTTAGATTTGTAGATGAAATGAAATGTGGTTTAACGTCCTACTTTTTTTGCACCGATTGGTGAAGACAGACTTACACCATACTCTTTATTGTCCCCCGCCTTTCGAAGAAAGCAGGGGACTATTAAAATGGGTTCGTCCATCTGTCTGTCTGTCCGTCTGTCTGTCCGTCACACTTTTTGGGACACAATAACTCTCTTCCTAATTGAGCTAGAATGTTCAAACTTGGTGTATGTGTTTATTAGGTCAATGCCTTGATGGAGTTCGAAGATGAGCATTTTCCGCTTAGGGTAAGCAGAGATAAGCAATTTGATTGGTTGATGCTTTGGGACACGATAACTCTCTTCCTAATTGGGCTAGAATGTTCAAACTTGGTGTATGTGTTGATTAGGTCAATGCCTTGATGGAGTTCGAAGATGAGCATTTTCCGCTTAGGGTAAGCAGAGATAAGCAATTTGATTGGTTGATGCTTTGGGACACGATAACTTTTAATTGAGCTAGAATGTTCAAACTTGGTGTATGTGTTTATTAGGTCAATGCCTTGATGGAGTTCGAAGATGAGCATTTTCCGCTTAGGGTAAGCAGAGATAAGCAATTTGATTGGTTGATACTTTGGGGCACGATAACTCTCTTCCTAATTGAGCTAGAATGTTCAAAATTGGTGTATGTGTTGATTAGGTCAATGCCTTGATGGAGTTCGAAGATGAGCATTTTTCGCTTAGGGTAAGCAGAGATAAGCAATTTGATTAGATGAGCATTTTCCGCTTAGGGTAAGCAGAGATAAGCAATTTGATTGGTTGATACTTTGGGGCACGATAACTCTCTTCCTAATTGAGCTAGAATGTTCAAACTTGGTGTATGTGTTGATTAGGTCAATGCCTTGTTGGTTGATGCTTTAGGACAAGATAACTTTGAGAGAGAGTGATGAAACTTAAGTGTATAGTTGATAATCAGTTTGATTGCTTGATACTTTAAAAAAAATAAATGTGCGATAAATTAATGTGTCATCTATTTATTTTGGTATTTTGGCGGGGGACATCAGCCTCACTGTTGGCTTGTTTCATTTCAATCTGTACACAGATTTTTGAGTTTTTGTCCCATCCGATTAACTAGAGACTGTCTTTGCCTGGACATCCATCTGGCACCATTTACAAGGGGAAACTGTGGGTTTTTTTATTTATAAGTTTTCATAATCACCCCATGTTATAACTTGTGTTATTTGTCTTTAAAATGCAGATTTATGCTAAATGCTAGTCAGCTTGAGTTGTAAAAATCATTCGATAAGATACAAAAGCTAACAACAAAAGGTAAATGGATAGAAAGTGAATTACAATTAGAATGTTCAAGGTTCAAATACTTGTATGTGCTGTCACATGGCCGAATGGTTAGTGCGTGTGCGCTGTATCATAAGGTCTGTCATTTAGTCAACTGGCGTAGTTTCGATTCCCTTGTTGTACGTGACAAGGAGTAGGGTCGTCTGTCCAACCTCGTCGGTTTTCTCTGGGTCCTCCAGTTTCCTCCCACTGCTAAAGACCCCTACACACAAACGAGATTATTGAAATAAATTGAACCATATGTTAGTTTTGAAATGATCTAGTTTGTGTTGAGTGGATGTTAAACCTGATTTTTTTCTCTCTCTCTCTCCCTTCTGACTTGTGAGTAGGAATGTCTCCAACATGGAAAGTGTGTCTAGTCATTTTCGATGTTTACCTTAAAACCAATATCCTGTGTTTCAATTGGTAGTGAACAGATATATAATCTGGTAGTTGGATCTAATTCACCTTCCCCTTCATTGTCCACCAAGACATTACAAAAATTAAAACTGACCAAATCTTGTCTCAGATTGTCTCAAGTAACTCCATTTATTTATGTAGTTAAATTTTGTGTAGTTTGTTATATAAAGTATACCAATATTAAAGAATTTTAATATAACTGAAAATGGTTCGCTGATTATTAATCTCCCCAGCTGAAAACCGTGTCAGACCTTGTCTGGTTGAGTTCCCCCATGGTTTTCATAACCTTTATATAATCCTAACTCGTATTATCTATGTTATCATTTGTATATGGTCTACATATTATATAAGTAATTTTGTTGTTGACTGTCTTAGGGTGATATATTGTATGTTTCAACTCATGTAAAATGACACGAAACTTGAAATAATGTTTAAATATGACATGGGTTGATAACTTTCTACAGGTCCAACATCCAGACATAGTTAATATCTCATACTGACATTACACATCATTGGAATTATTTTACATAGATTTATTGTCACAGTGTCTGGTTAAATTTGTGTTTTTTGATATTTGTCTAGAAAGGTAATAATATAATTAATGGTGATTACCGGTAGTGTTCACAACTATCTGTGAGAAGATGGGTTGAAATTTGCCCACAGAATAATTTGTCTGGATAGCATGAGAGCGGAAGTTAGAGCTCCCATTTTAACTGGATCATTGCCGAAAAAAACTTGTTAGGTTTTCCAGGTGTCTAGTCATTGACCTGGTCATTCAAAAGTAAATAAAGTTAGTCTACATAAATTTGGCTTTCCATAGAGCGGGTTACATTGAGTTCGACAACCGCATTAGTTAAAATTCTAAAAGATTAAAATGTTTAAAGAATGTGGCTAAGTTAGATAAAAAAAAAATTAAGTATGTCTGCGGAACTATCTCATGATTAGCTTTATTAAAGTAAATTTCATGATTCATTGAAAAAAGATTTGTGATAACTCTATAACCACTTTCACCTCAGTGGGTGTATTTAAATTTACAATTCATGATAGGTTACAACCTCTTCTTATCTGCTGAATTGTCTTCTGCTTCAGTTGGGTTGCAGATTGTCTTAAATTAATGACATTGTCTCTACCTGAACCATGGCACAAAGATAAACATAAGAATAAAATCCGATCATTTTACTCTTGTGCATGATATAAGAGATTTTTTATGGGACTGTTTTGGAGTGTTTTTCATGTAACCATAACATCTGGCAACAAAATTTGTGTTTCCATGGAAATTTATGATTCTTAAAAAATCTAAATTATCAAATGAATTGATAACTTGTTTAAAATAAATAGAAATTTATTGCTACACCTGCACATTTGTGTCTCAGCCAAGTTTTGACATTTTCCTTTTCTCAAATTTTTGTCTTGCCAATTTGAAGTGTATATTAATATGTTTCATATACTATCACAAATACAAAATCTAAAAATGATTAAAAAAAAAAAAATATAGGTTCATGTAAAATTGAATATTCGAAAACGTTTGGGGCAGTTCTAGTTTCTTTGCTGTGTAACAATTAATTCATGTACTAAACAATGTATAAAACAAAACATAGCAAAGAAATTTATCCCCAAATTGACAGATGATTAATTTATTCAACGTTCAATAGCCTTGAGGTGCTGCAGTGATTGCATCATTAGGGCACTTAAGTTATTCAATATTCAAAAGTCTTGAGGGGCTGCATTGATTGTATCATTAGGGCACTTGACCTCAAGTTTTTCAACATTCAAAACCCTTGAGGAGCTACAGGACACTTGAACCTCACAAGCTATTCAATATCAAAAAAATGTTTTATATTAAGATACATGTTTACTGTGAAATCATGCTCATCAAATGTTAATAATTAATTGCATTGTTTATCCATGACTTCATGATTAGTAGTTCATATGGACACACCTTTTCATTCCACACCAATTGTAAATCAACATATTTATTATGGATGAAGGAAGTCATACAGATCTGTTTACGCCCTTTAAAGAGGTAATCAAAGGGGGACATAGCACAATATCAAATTCCATCCATCAATCTTGTAGAAAAGTAATTGAAAGAATTAAGGAAATTGTATCATATTTCTAAATCAAGAAATCAAATTAACCTCTAATTAAATAGGTTTTATCAACCTTTTTTGATCGCTGTTATTTTTATTCTTATATATCTATTATAGATAGTTATTATCATAAATTTAATACTGATTTTATCTAGGTCATAGATTACTCACTAATCCTCTTTCTTTTGAACTTATAAAAACTTGTGAAACTTGATTTCTCCAACTGAGTTTTATTTCATAGAAGACTAATGTTTTAGCCTAGTTATTTTTATTTGGTAGTAGATTGGTTGCTCCCTGATGGTTCTATAGAAATATTAAGAGTCAGTTTATTAGCTACAGCTAGTTTTGAATTGGAAAACAAGGATTATTTTATGAGGTGTGATAGGTGTGTCCTGTGATCTTCGACAAAACTCATTAATCTTTAATATTTCAACGATTTACATATAACCAGTTGACTATCTTATGAATATTTTATCTACATGTACAGTCTAGATTAATTATAAACCACTTCTGCAGTCGATTTCACGTTTCCAACATCAGTGTTGGTAATGATTTGCAATGGATCTGCCTAGATTTTCATACAGACAGTTTGAAATATTTTTTAATGTAGAATATTCTTATTCGAATTTGTCATAACTAATTACTCATACCAGCTAATTACTCATGCTAGCTCGTGAGTCTATGATTACTCCAGCTTCTAGAACACCTGGTACCTTTTATCTTTCATGTGTGAAAGTAAATACAGCTGGGAACAAAATGGTTTTTCATATTAATTAATGTTTATCTTGTTTATTTTCAGGTTCATCATTAGATCTAACACCAACTCTGTTGACTATTTATGATAATATAGCTGCTTCTAATGGACCCACAGAAGATGATCCATTTCAGGAAGCTAAAATCAAATCCAACAGTTTACCCGTTTCCACAGCAACAAGAGTAGGAAAAGGTAACTCTGTGACTATATGCGAGAATGGTCTGGATAAGAGACATACTATGATTAATCCTCCTGTGAGTGATGTCAGTGATAGTTTGAATGATACACGAAAACGCCCCCTTAGTATAAGTTCGATGTCTTCTGCCTCGTCTTCCTCATTGCCACGGCATCAACGGAAACGTCCCAATTTAAAGGAGTATGATCAAGCGTTGTTACGAAGTGATAGTAGTATTGTGAATGGTTCTATAAAGGATGTAAATGGTAATAATAAAATTGATGCAATGGAAGTCATGTCCGCAAGATTCGAGAAAAAGTTAAACCAAGTTGTGAAAAATGATATTTCTGGATTAAAACATCTTGAAAGTTTCTCTAAGAAGGAAAACGATGAGAAACCAAGAAATAAAGATAGAATTGAGAAATTGGACTCAAGCAAATTACGATTGAAAAGTGCCAAACCCAAACGTTCGCTCTCCGATGCTGATGCGTATGCAGTTACAACAGCATTGGAAAATCATAAATTAAGTCCTAATCCAAGTAGACACGTGGAATCTAGGAACACCTTAATGCCACCCAGTCCTCAAGGATTATGTCCAGATAGTCCACAGATGGCGCCAGATTCTCCCGATGGCTGCATGTTGTCTAAACCAGCCAATCACTATGTTAGTTATGTGCAACGTGTTGTATCGGAGATTGTAGAAACTGAAAGAACCTACGTTAAAAGTCTAGAGGACATTATACAGGTAAGATTTTCTAAATCATCAAGTAAACAAGAAATCAATTTTAAAAGTTTGAATTTATAGCTATATGATGTTTTCATTAATTTTTTGTCACAGTTTATTCCGCAAGGCCATGCTGCAATTAATACAAGCTTTACATTATATGAATTAAGCAACATTCTGTACTGAAACCATTATGTATCACTGTGTGGTCTAAGTCCTGTTCATGTCATATCATATCCTCTTGATACACAATTATGACCTTTGACATGTCATGAAGACTTTCTCTTGTGAATAAGACCCAGACATACAAACATAAAAAAGGCCTTCACACAAATTTATACAAAATTGAAAAGGAATCTATATCAAGACATAAACACAGATAAAAGTAGGAATTTCTATCAAATATATAAACATCTAATCCAGATGGTATCTCTGATAAGTAAATTGCCTAATCAAAGGTGAAGATGTTTTACTCGTCAGATGTTAACCTTTCTACATCAAGTTCCATTTTTATAGCATCTTTAGTATAAAGATCACTGGTACCTTGAAGTAGGGCTAGTGTTCTGGGATTGTAAAAATCCTGTTACATGCAGTAAACTACCTAACCATCTGGTATCTAATAGAAAGTATATGTTACATGATCTCATGATCAAATACATCACCTGTACAAATTCAGTGAGTCATTCAGGTACATGTCTAATTTCTAAATTACTTAAAATTAACAAACTTTCTTAATAACCAAGCTTGGATGTATTGAAAACTGCTGGTGCTGAACATATTGCCATTAATACAGTAATTTAATTTATAATAGAGATATAGAAATGAGTAATTGAAGCGGCTGAAAATGTCGAGCAGTACAATGGTAAATATCGTAGGTCTAATTTGATATTTGAATGCTTTATAGGTGAACAATATCATCTGAATATCTCTACAAATTCAGTAATCTTAAACAAAAGTTTTACGTTCATGTAAGAAAACTATGAATAGATGTAAGAGAGTCACGATATTAAATCTGATTGTTCTGGTTCACTGTGACCAGATGTTATAGGAGAACGAGATCTGGTGTAGTTTCATCTGTTTACAAATAGAACATCTTAGCATGAAATGGGTGTACATCTGGCACAAATAACCATCAAAATTGCGCTGGGCATTCTAACTGTTCCACATTGATCTTTTTTAATATTTCTTTGTGTGTCTCTTGTTCTGAGCCGTCTGCTGAATCATCAATGTATCTGGACTAGTATAAATCTCCGTTGAAATATTTGTTTATATCAAAACGTGTTCTGTTTGTAAATTATTTCAACAATTTATCTTTAAAAATTGTTCGTAGGAAATAAGTTTTTAGTGATACATCTGAAACATCTGTCTTATCACTCCTACTGACAAATACCAGTAGATGAAATAACGTCAATTTGATTTCTTAACATTTTGATATGATGTGCAAAGAAAAATAGTTTCATCAAAAGCCATTCTTTTCCAATAGGGGGGGGGGGGTGGATGGCCGAATGGTTAGCACGTGCGCGCTGTATCATTCATAAGGTCTGTCATTGATTTAACTGGTGTAGTTTCGATTCCCCGGTTGTACATGACAAGGAGTAGGGTCGCCTGTCCAATCTCGTGGGTTTTCTCCGGATCCTCCGATTTCCTCCCATTGCTAAAAACCCCTATGCGCAAACGAATTATTGAAATAAAATTGAACCATATGTTAGTCCCAAAATGACCTAGTTTGTGTCGAGTGGATGTTAAACCCCATTTCTCTCTCTCTCTCTTTTCCAATATTTCTGACAATATGTCCCAAAGGCACCAAAAAGCAATCATGAAATCAATTTATTCTGAAATATGAATCAATTGGAAACGAACCCCAGTGACTTTGCCAGACCTACAAATAATTACAGTACTCAAAATCAGTCATATGGAACATGGAGATAAATTGCGGACATTACTCCGAATAACTTTCCACTAATAGATACCACTTATACACCTCATGTAAATAAAACTTTGTCATTGTTGATTAAGTAAGGGTTGGATTTTCTCGGATTCCAGTCATTTCTATTCTGTTGGTCAATTAACCCAGTTCTGACCAGGTTACAATTCTACTAATATTACATTGGTTGAGATAATGGAGCAATTAGTATGTAGGTGGGGCTGTGATAATGGCAGACACTTACCGTCTGCCCTTCAGGTCTGCTTCGTTTATTTTAGCCTCTGGTCATTCAGATTTTCTTTGGAATTGAAGTAAATGTGGAAAATGAGGTCTGTGAGTGAATTAATCTTGTGATAAGAATAGAGATACTAATAATGACCACTATGGTCATTGGCTCAAGAGTTAGTTCAAGCAGAAACAATTCGAGTAATTCTTTGTGATTCATTAGTTGTCAGCGAAAAGAAAATATCTCGACTGCTCTAATTTCTAAAGTAAAGAAATTATTTTCTAGGTCAACTGAACTTGAAGTTTTTTTTTTTTTTGATGTGCTTTGTCAATATTGAAAGATTATTATTTACATTGGCTTTTAAAAGTCCACAAAACCATCTCCATTGGTGGTTGTCGTCAACTCGACTATTTTGGTTAGATAGAAATATATAATACATATAGTAGTGGTAATTATTGGTCTGCTGCTAGTGATAAAGAAATGTTTAGATTTTATTTCAAAAGAACTAGTATTTTGAGGTCCATTCTCCATTCATTGTTCAACATGTGTGATTACAGCAAGATGATTCACAGTAACATTTATATAAAATTATAATTGAATGCAACATTAACAGCAAGTCCTCACTCCTCAAGCTATGAAATAAATTTGCAGAAATTCAATAAACAATTAAGGCACCTCATTTCATTTCATTTTTTAAACCCTTCAGGCTAGTGCAAATTTTCTTAACATACTAAAAATAGTTTTCTTTTGTAAAAGAAATCACCTTAAAAACTGTAGTTGATTGTAAATTATGCTTTGGTTTGGTTTTTGCAACAGAAAAAATATCTTCTGTTGGGCATTCATAATTTTTGAAGAGATAAATGTTCGACAGACTGGAATCGGGCTGTGTTCATTGGGCTTTATTGTAATATTATCATTTAACGTAGATTGATATGATAAAGACTATAATAAATTAATAAAAATAGTGATTAGGAGGAATGTAAATACCTGTTTAATATATTAACTTATTATATAAACAACTTACTTCCTGTTAACACGTACAGGTAAATAACGGAAACCAATATACAATCTGTTCTTCATCAACAACTTCTTTCATTTATATTCTCAATTATCATCATATATTAAAAACAGGTTACCGTTGCTCTATTATATTATACATATTCCAAAGTTTAAAGCTATTCATTTTAAACATAATTCTGAAATTGGCATTTTGGCATAAAGCTTAGTCAATTATATATTACATCAACATTGGGAGATTACCTTGGTCAATAACCTGGTTTAAAATCCTTTGATGTTGGCGTATCATTATTTCAAATAATGGTACGGGCAATGTGCCAAGCGTACATAATTTATACTAGTTAATATTTTGGACCCGTGTGATATATTTCTTGAAAAGCATTAAACCACACTTATTGAAAAGCTGCAGGGCTTATAAAAAGTGTAGTATAGAAACACATCCCCCTTGATTTTGGAATGTGTCGAACCAGGCTAAACTCCCTGCTCCCTTGGCAATCAAAATTTACCTAATAACTGACTCCTGTCCCTCCTCCCATTGGCATAGTTTAAAGTTTTTCCTCTCTCCCAGACGGAAAGAAATCCAACCTTTCTTTATTGCTGTTGAACAAAAGTACCGCCCAGGCCAGATTGCCTCTCCTCCGAGCTACGATACTGCCCTTATACTCATATCCTATTAGAAATCCTGCATATGCCACTGATGCCAGTATAGAAAGATATGTTTTGGACCCTATTTTGTCAGAAATGAAATGGAGTTTAACATCCTACTGTTCTGCAACAACTGGGCATATACATGGGCATATACAGTGTGCTACGACAAGGGAATTTTCACAGACAGTGGCTGCTATGGCCTACTCTTGTTTTGAATTCCAGCTGTCAAGGGATTTTTTTTACGTGCCTTCCAATGTGTACACAGGACATCATTTTTTTTGTCCCATCCAAACAACTAGGTACAGTCCGTGCCAAGTGGTACCCCTGTCTGAAGACCTCTGGGTTAGCTTTCCAGCACCTTAATCACTGAACCTCTGTGACTCCCCTGTTTTGTCAGACTGTAAGGGCAATATGGTGTATACATATGGCATACACCTGAAACATAAGTACTTGTAATTAAATTAAACTATTTATCTCTTGTATCTATATATATTAATGGATGGAAAATCAGTGTTCAGGGTAATCACAACATGTTCAGGAAGCTCATATTCCACTAAAATAACCAATAAACCAAGCATTCACTTCAGCTAAATTAGACATCTGCATGCAAACATCATTTAATTTGAGTTTTCCTTTGCTGACATCTGATTAACTGTAATGTATGGCATCTACCAAACTCTCCAAACCTAATGATGTTTTTTTGTAGTACACTAGAAAAATGACCACCCAAACTATCGCCCAATATATGTCCACTGAACCCACACACTAAACAACCCACACGACCTCTGACCTTTTAGTGCTAGTTGTGTTTTGTTGACAGGTGCTATATATTTACATGTGATTAATAGTTAGAGGTTGTCTTCAAGGTAAAAAATGGAGGAAATATCAATCAATTTGACACACAAAGAACAAAATTGAAATAAATAATTATCTTTCATATTTAATTTCATTATTCCCTACCATGAAATGCACTGAGATACAGAAAAAGAAAGAAATATCTTATACTGTCATGTAAATTATGTTTGATCTCTGCTATAATAATTTGCATAAAACTGTTTAATATATTTTCAACTGTTGTACATATAGGAATAATTTATGGAAGATATAGATATATACCTGAACAAAACAAGTTTGGTTTAAAATTCCATATGCACTCATGCGGCCGATGGTCTGATCATCATCCTCTGATGCCATCGTGAGTGCACATTAATAAACGAATCCTTGATGTTGGAGATGGTTAATGAGTGCTTGTAATCCCTGCTATCCAAATAAATTTCCCTTCCCTAGCTTTGAATATGTCGGACATATGTGACCATACAAAAAAAATATCATAATTTGATTTGTTATATTTTCCAGGGTTATCTACAATATTTAGAGAAGTTTACAGAAGTTGATGTAGCTCGAGAAGACACTAATTGTTTATTTAGTAATATTAGAAGTATATATAATTTCAGCAAGTAAGATCAGAATTTCTTGTTTAACTTTAATTAGTGAAATATCAATTAGTAAATCATTTGTGCTGTCAAGCTTAATAAGTCAGTCTTGTGAAATATTTAAATTTGATTTCTCGATTGATCAAGTCAATTCATATCCAAATGTGTTTGGAACTTTAGTCATCGGATAACCCAGTCAGGGAATATCTGAGATGGAAGTTTCAATTCACCATTTGATTAATGGATGTAGAACTTATAAAGGAATCAAATTTGGAATCTGCAAATAAAGTCAGGGAAATCAAAGGATATTTTTAGAAAGTATATATTGTCTTTTCTGGGGCCACGATGGCAATTAGGGTAAGACGCTGGCTCGCTAGCCTGGAGCTCGGGTGTTCGATCCCTGCATTGGCACAGAAAGTTCATCCAGATTTTCAGTTGTGGTTCCCCCTTGTCAGTGATGCAGGACGGAGGGCTGACAAGGACAGATTTCTAGTCGTTCAGATGGGACGAAAAAACGAGGTCCCATGGACACATTGGCGTGCACGTAAAAGATCCCTTGACAATTGGAATTCGATATTGTAGGCTGCAGTGCCGCTGTCCGGGCAAAATTTCACCCATAGCACACTGTATGGCGTATGCCCGTCTTCATTAGCATAGTTCAGAGCAGAACAGTAGGATGTTAAACCCCACTTCATTTCATTTCAGTTTGTCTTTTCAGGTCACTGAAATTATGTTATGTATATTGTTATAATAATAAAACATTAACAAATTCCTATGACAATTGGAGAGTTTACCGGTTTATAACAGTTTATGTTATTGTAGATAGTAAACATACCTGTCAATCATGTGATATATATATATATATATATATATATACATATATCTTGTATCTACCAGTATATATGACCGGTCTGTCCACCAGACTGGACAATACTACCCAATAGCACACCCACTGTGTCCATAGTCAGACAAAGTGACCATTGTTTCAGGTCATTTGTCCAGTAAAATAAATATTATTTATAAACACAGACAGTGTAATGGTTAACAGTTGTGTAAATTGTAGACATGTGTCAAATGTATCTAGTAGAATTCCTTTTATAGGGATATAGAATGTAGCTAAGCTTCAACCTGGCCAATAAAATAGAACCTACACACCTATCAATTTCAGAATCCATAGAACACAAATGACAAATTAGTGTAATATTATTTAACAGAAAACAGTTTTAATGGGAGATCAATCACTTGTTTTATTGTTCTTGATAAGGATAAGAGGATACTTGTTGAAACGTCATGTTTTTTTTTATAATAAACCCAGTGATTGATCTCTCATAAAAATTTTGTTATGTTTATTACGTTCCTCAATCAGTTAAATGCCACTTACAGATTATATAAAATAGTAATTGAACTCTACCAGTTGAGTATATTGTATAGCAACTCTATTTTAAACTTGAGAATCTTTGATATTAGAGTTGTCTAGTCGTTCGGATGGGACGAAAAACCAAGGTCCTGTGTACACATTGGCGTGCACGTAAAAGATCCCTTGACAGTTGTTATTCGATATAAGAGTAGGCCAAAGGGCCGCTGTCTGGGCAAAATTTCTCTCATCGCACACTGTATGGCGTATGCCCATCTTCATTAGCCCAGTTTGGAGCAGAACAGTAGGACGCAAACCCCATTTCATTTTCATTTTATTTTCTTTGATATTAGAATAGGTTTAAAATATTTGAAATACACACTTCTCAGTTTTTGCAGACTTCCAACATTCAATTCCTCATCAAAGTTAAATGACTGAAAATACGTTGCACTCTCACCCAATTTAGAAAAGTAGGACGTTAAACCCCATTTCATTTCATACCATTTCTCACCCAATTTAAGACAGAGTACCTGACCAGGTGTATCTTGTCCACATGGTTCTTTATATTTTTCATGTTCGTAAATTATGAACTATGAATCTAGGTCTTCTAAAGGCAAGTTGAGTTAAAGATTTTCTTTCTGTCATCAATATTTTCATGTTTTTACCTTGGTTATGCAGATTCTTTCACCTGCAAAAGAGTTGTGCATATAATCAAAATAATAAAATACACATATTCCATATGTTACCCCCAATCAATCAATATTTCTCACTGATCTTAGTTTTGGCCGATAAAAGTACCTTGGGATTTTAATGCCTGCTTTCCTCTTGATCTGACAATGTAATAAAAAACCCAAAAACATCCTGTGTAGACTATTCACCTGACAATTGGACATTGAAGTAAGAACAGGTCGTAGCTTAGCTGTCCAAATAAACTCTTCCTTATTGTACATTATATGTTGTAAACTCATTATCATTAGCCTGATTGATGCGGAAAACAAGATGTTAAACACTGTTAATCCTTCCACTTGTTGGTGTATTAGTCTATAGATATAATGATAACCCCTGTGTGATGACAACATATTGAACTGAATGTGTTTTATCATAATATTATCATATTAAACAATAAATATTAACCAAGATAGTTGTATAGACTCGGATTGTTTATTTATTTGTTTACATGTTGTTGGTTACAGGGTTTTTCTCAGTGAATTAGAGGCTTGTGATGGTGAACCTGTTAAAGTTGCAGAATGTTTTGTCAGAAACAACAAGGGTTTCGTTATTTATTCTGAATATTGTACGAACTATCCAAGGTACTGTCAATATACTACTTCCTTATAAAAACTTTATAAAGTTAAATCAAAAAACTCTTTTTCATCTAGAACCCTTTTGCATTTAATTGTCAGTCTCTTTGATTTTTTTTATACAGAATATTGTACTATTTAAGGTACTGTGATATGCCAGAACTACTTTGAAAAAATCCTCCAACAACTTAAAATTCTTATATGAAAAGAACCTGTGAAAAAAATATTATTCAGCTAGATCTTTCACATGTATTAATTGTCAGTCTGTTTGACAATGTCATCAGTTTTGTGACATTTTGTTCTGTGACAGTGTCATCAGTTTAGTGACATTTTGTCCTATGACATTTCGTCCCAGTGCCATTTTGTCTATAGGCATTATGTGCTTGATATTTGATATAATGTATAAGTAGTACTATATATATATTCAGATGTCATATATAGATTTTCAGTCCAGACCACTCTTAACATTATTAAAAACATTGGTCAATGCTTACATGAGTTCTGGCCATCTGTTTTGATTGGAGAAATGATGTCTTTAATTGTAATTTGAACAACTAAAGCAAGCTTATGTCGACCATACAACTGAGAGCAACTAGCATTTTGGCAACTGAAAAAGGTCGACATGAGTGCCTCTTACAACTCAGGCAATAAGTTCCAGTCAGTTGAAACCAGTTGCCAATGTTTGACTTTATGCAACTCGCTTTAACTAGCGGCAACTAGTTGCCGTCGACATGAGTGCTCTTACAACTGGCGTCAACTCTTTCCATAGAAATATCATCACATGATAAGAGACATGTGACTTTATAAATAGGCAAAATGGAAGCGAATGAAGGCATCCACTTTTCAAATGTTGATGGTGTCAACAATAATAAAGTTATAGAAATGTGGCAAGATCGACCATGCCTTTGGGTTGCTTCTTCTAATAAGGTGTTCACCATTTTTGTTTATGACATGATAAAAAAATTAAGTCGCATGTTAAGTGTAATCGCTATCCGTTCCAAGTCAACATGAGTGCTCCAAATTCTTTTGCCCACATTTGTTGATTTGCTCCCAGTTCTGAAGTCGACATAAGCGCCATTTTATAAATAGTACTAAGAAAACTGCCATTTGTGCTACACTCGTTTGTTCTGATTACCATAGCAGTATGTAACCAATTTTATTCAACAGAGTAAGCTAGGTTATTGAAATTTAACATGGTACTAGTCACTGTGACAAAGCGAATCATATTGAATGACTGTATAGGATTCAAATTACTTTCCCTTTATAAACCTGCTTAGACTCCATGACCATATTTCCATGTAACCTGAATTAAATAGACTTAATTCTGTAATCTGTTGGAAAGGGTTCAAATGGTACTTTAACATGTGCTCACATCATCTAAAAATATAAGGTATATAACAATTGAACAATAACTTTGTTGTTGTCTCACTCCGTCCCAGTTGTCTACTTTTACTTTAGAATTAAACACATGTTATGACATTATAGTCAAGATCAAAATATAGCTTATCAATGATGTCATTGTGTAATAACGTGAAGTTAAAACTGAGACAAATGTGAATGTTTATTATCTTTTTTCGGCTTTTAAAAGTGGGTGTTGTAAGGAAGAGATTAGAAATAGACAAAGTTTTTATGTTTTGTGTAAATCTTGTATAAATAGAGAAATATACATTTATTTATATAGTGTCTGTATGTACATTTTAAAAGGAAAGGATGATAAGGCAAGATGCATTGTACCTCCCAAATATTTCAATGTGTGGGTGTTGTTTTTAGTGCAGTCTATCTATACTATATAGCAAGATGGTCCGTGGTTCACTTTCTGGTCAATCTGATTAAAATACAGATCTATATTTCGTTTCTTTTTTTATACTTTCGATGGCCTACACTACATGAAGATCTGACAAGTTATAGTGGGAGTTCCCTTAGGGATCAAACCAGCGGCTTTTGACCCTATGACGTCAGACATTCATTAATCAATCGCGTTAACGTTTCTAGTGGTTTACCCTCAGTTCTGTGTATAAATAGGCCAATAACTCGCCGTAACAGACTGTTTCATTAGCTAATTCCTCACATCAAGTAAAACGCCTGTTATATAACAACTCTTTCAGATTCTAGTGTAGTAAAGACAAGTAAATCGAAATTTTGAACTATAAAAACAGAACGAAATTGGATCTGTGTTTTATTATATTTTCGATTAGTCTGTACTAATTGTCTACCTTACTAGCAATGATAACTCAGTGAGAATTGCAACAACGTTTCCAGTTTTATCTAATAAAGTTCCTCAAGATTCTCCAACCTGGTATCCCCCTTGTCAATGGTGCAGGATGGGAAAGCCTGGGCCAGTAAACGTGTTCGAAAAGTTAAAAAGATCAGATGTCACATGTATACCATTTGGTAGTACGTTAAAAATCCCTGACAGTTTAAAATTGAAATAAGAATAGTTTGTAGCATCAATGTCTTTGCAGAATTTCCCTCATATAGCACACTAACTCTGTTAGTCAGGTTGACGCAGAAAAAACAGATCTTAACCCCATTTCATTTCAGTATCACTAAAAATCATTTAAAAACGGATATTTGTCTAAAATTGCTTTCTTTAAATTACATCTTTTAATTAAATCTTTTCTATGTAAATTTGATATGATATTTGTTGATTTCAGTGCTGTTGAAATTTTAACCAAATTTATGATGGATCCAGTTCTGTGTGAAGTTTTTAAACATCGTCAACAGATGTTAGGTCATGGTCTACCTCTAGGGGCATACTTACTCCGTCCAGTACAACGAATACTGAAGTATCATCTTCTATTACAGGTAAGCGTCTTGACATCGGGTAAATATATATGTATATAGTTAGTTTCAAATATAAATAACATCTAATAAAATTGAAAATTAAAATTATGATCGTTTATAATTTATGATCAGTATTCTAATAAGTCTCACTTTTTATGCCATTTGGATTAATAACATTTTATTTAGTTGGGTTTTTTTTTTTGTGTTCAAATCTGGGACTGTGAGGTTTGAGCCATCAGGGCACAGAACTTTTAATTAGAAATCGTGAGTCTGATTCCTGGCATTATCTGAGAAGATTATTGGGGATATTTGAAGCCTAGTTCGCTCTTGTCAAGTCTGTGAAAATGATGAAGAAAGTTTGCTTAGTCAGTCGGGTGGGACAAGAAAACCAAGGTACACTTGTTTACACACTGACTGGTGTGTAAAAGAAACCTTCACAGTTTGAAATGGATTCAGAGTAGGTGAAAATGCTACAGTCATGATCACTTACACTTCCCTAGCATTATACACTTGACCAACGAAAAAAATCTCACATATTGTGTTGACAAGATGTTAAACCCCAATTCAATCGTACGGTTTCTGCATATCTTTACCCACCTCACACAACTATCGGACATACATTTATATAATGCTTACCTAATATTAAAATTCTGATTTCAGAATATCTGGAAGAATTTCGACAAGGAGAAACCTGGCTATGATATTCTAGAACAAGCCTTTAAACATATGACGAGTATGGCTCACCATATTAACAATATGAAACGTAAACATGAACATGCTATAAAGATACAAGAGATACAGAGTCAATTAGAGGATTATACAGGAGATGATTTAACTAGATTAGGTGAACTAGTCTTAGAGGTCAGTAAATTCTATTAAACTTCTCTATTATCAGATTTCCCTTAAGCAAATTATTTTCTATATATGAAATCGAATATGGTTTATTAATTGATAGATGTCTATGTATAAAACAAAGGGTTGGTCGAGTAGCCTAACATGTGCACTTTAGATCATAAGATCAGTAATTGAGTGATGTGGCATGATATAAATATTGACAATAACGAACACAAAATTGTAGCAACTAGGAAAATGTTTTGCTTTTGTTTCTCCAAGTACAGAACTAGTTTTAGAAATTGCACCAATCACCTTCCTAATGAATTATTTCCTTGTTGTGAGATATTGATAATGTATATTTATTTTATTTCTATCTTGTTAACAGAGTACTTTTCGAGTATATGGAGCGAGAGCATCACGTCATGTATTTTTATTTGAGAAAGAAATATTAATATGTAAGAAGAAAGAAGGTGGAATGTTAAGTTGTAAAGCATCTGTACAGGTAATATAGGCTCATCTAAGGTTTTAACTGTCATTATTTTAGGACCGGGGCCACATTGGAATTAATACATGTCAATCCATGAGAAGAGGGAATATTTTGTCTCCCTGTAAACCTTACCAGGGTGCTTTTTTGAGCATAGGTGGCTAAGTGGGTAAGATGCTGGTTCGCTAGTCTGGAGATCATGTGTTCTCTCCCAGTGTTGGGAGTTCATCGAGATTTCCCGGTGTGATTCCCCCTCGTCATTGGTGCAAGACGGAGGGCCTGACAAGGACAGCTGTCTAGTCATTTGGATGGGGCAAAAAAACAAGATTCTGTGTACACATTGGAGTGCACGTTAAAGATCCCTTGGCAATTGGAATTCAATATAAGAGTACGCCAAAGCACCTGTCCAGGCAAAATTTCTCTCTCATAGCACACTGTATGGCATATGCCCGTCTTTATTAGCCCAGTCAGAGCAGAACAGTAGAACGTTAATCCCCATTTCATTTTTTTGAGCATGAGAAGTGTAGGTGAAAGGGAGAAAGAGTCCTGTGTGCTTTGATTATGATAAAGATTCATCATGTTTTTGTCCCAAAATTACTTGTCAGTATGTCTTGTAAACTCATTTTTATACAACTTGTGTGCTGTACAGTTCTTATTTCTTTGTTGGTCAATATGTTTTGTTTTATTTGATGCTATTTTAATTTATTTGTGGTATATTTATATACTTCAGTGCTCCAACCTGATGTTAGTTGAAGTTATTGATAACGAACCTCTCAGTTTTCATATCATTCCTTTTGATAATCCTAAAGCCCAGCATACACTACAGGTACTGAACAGAACATTTGTATTTGCACATGTGTTCAGAAATAACAAAAATCTTTTTAAAGATATCTTTTCCAGAGAAGGAATTATGTAAATTTATTTACCCTTTTCTACAGGAGGGTGCTATTTTTGTTTTCCTCAATTGTGATACCCTTGTTTGATTTTCATTCCACAAAATGTAATATTTCAAGTAAAGAGTGAACCTATAAATAATATTAACTTTATTCTATGTGACATTTTGTAAAAACATGTATGATATTTTGTGTACTGTAAAAGATAAAAAATTTAATGAAATTATTTGATGAAAAAATGCCTTCTCAAATATTTTCAACTCATTAACTCCACTAGGTATCAAAAGGCTTTTTATTTAGTTAAAAGACACGTTCATGATGTTTTCCATTTTAATTATTAATGATTCTTGTAATTAAATTTTTTTCACATATTTACCCCAGGCTCGTAATATGGAACAGAAAAGAAGATGGTGTCAGGAAATAAAACGTTTGATATTAGAGAGTTATAGTGGTAAAATACCAGATAAAGTTAAAAGTTTAGTTATGGAACTTGGTCGTAATCATGATGAAGGTAGGTACTGTTTAAATGGTATTTAGTAATTGAAATAATAAAATAATCACAACCATTGTAGGGAAGATAATTAATGAGTTTCAATCTCTTGTTGTTTCAAAATATCTGCTGTGTTATTTGCTTGAATAGAAGATGAGGTTTGAATAAACCTCTAATAATGGGTTAAAAAAAAAGTTATACGCTTAGAAAAGAAGATCAAGTTAATATAAGGGAGGTAATCCTGTTTTATATCATCTCATTAAAACTTGATTTTTCCAGATTTCGTGAGCACTGAGAATTTAGATGCAAGTAGAAAACATCAACACACGGCACCAGAATACCTGGAAAGACGGAGAGTTCGACGTAAATCAGGTGGCAAATTAGCAGGTAAATATATGTTTATAATAGTTGAATGATTTGTTTCTAGATGTGATGTGTGTGTGTTTGTAGCCATTTAATTATTAGATGCTTCTTTTAATACACCTATTCATCTCTGATCTATATTAGGCTATGGCTTCAGACACTTTTGTTTTATTTCAAATTTTACCTCAAAAATCTGTTTTTGAATCGTGGAAGTAGAAATGAAAATAAGGAGAAATGTTTTGAAAGTGTCATTCAGCCTTCTCCAGAGGAGTGATACTTACACTTTAAAATAACTAAGTTTAAAGCTGGGTTCTTTTTTGATCAAATCTACCAATACAGATACATGTCGTAATATGGACAAGCTGTTAAATTCATCTGCCAGTTAATCTGCCATAGGAATCTCAAAGAATTTAACCTTAAAGCAATAAAATACAGCTAATTTTATAACTTTTATATGTAAGACCACTTCAAAAAGAGACAATTAATACTAAAAATTGCCACGTAAAAATATAAATATCATGCAATCTGAGATAAGGAAACTGTTCGAAGTGACATCTGTGTTTTAAAGTTATACTATCATCATACCTGTAATCCATGTCTTAAGATCAGACTGTACAAGTTTCATTCGAGATGAGCATGAATCATACATAAATATATCAATCCTGGCACTCGTTGAATTTTAAGAAACTAAATCTTTCTCAAAAAGACTGTTACGATTCCATTGCTGTCGAAAGAACATGAATCATATGGAGAAATGTTAATTCATTTTGTGTTAATAAAAAAAAACAAATTTTGTTAATTTGAATGAACCGTCCTAGTGTTTTTCTGTTAGCAAATAGTGAATTTTGTTTGGTTTGAAATTTCTTAGGTGATGATTGTGACATGTTTATTGAAAAATATCTTTGTGAGTTGTCTTATATTTTCACCATTGTCATGTGTTTTAATCCGCACACCATTATTATAGCACCATGATTATCATCATTATATTACACCATACCAATACAGCATGTTAACTGTTTCAACTGCATGATGTTACCTTTATTATTATATGTTGAATGTTTTCATTATTAATGTTATTTGAGGACAGCACTATAAAAGGGCATGTTGATTGAATATCCCACTTGTCTACGATATCACCAGGTCCGTAAACATTGTCCGTCAATTTTACAGCACCCCTTGAGAACACTTCCCGCCCCTCCTCGTTGCTCTGAGCTAGTTACGGCCCTGGATATCACCCTTGGTGGAAGTGGACATAAAACTCCAGGAACGAACGAACGAACGATCGATTACCCCAGTCCACTCATCTATTTTAAACTGGCGGAGTGTTTGAAATAACTTTATTTTAACTCTGCTTCCACAACAAAGCGATATCGCTGAAATGAAAGTTTGGGTCAGTTCTTGTCAATTAAAGTTGTTCCTCCTATCGAAACACTTATGGATGGTGCTGCCTTGTTCATATTCAAATGTTGCAAAATACATCTTTGTAGACAATGCAAGGAACGGAACCATGTTAAGATTTCAGCAAATCTTCTTCACAATATTGTAGTTTGCAAGAGATTCAAAAGCTCTCAAATGACCATCAGTGGCTTTAAAGGAGTCCTTTTGACTGGCCAATCTTGATTTTTTTTTCTTTCATGAGCAGTTGTCCTAAGTAAATCAGTAACCTGCTTAAACAGCACAAATATCTTTTCATAGCCACCATGTTTCACTGAGAATGGATATTAGTTCAATTGCCATCAGTGACAAGACAGACTTTCAATTTCTCTTGAGTTTGTGAAAGTCACAAAGTCTTCCCAACCCTACCTATGTTTGCATGTTGTATAATTTGCTAAAGTAGATGCCAGAAGTTAATATCGGACCAGGCTTTTTTCTATATAATTATTTACATAAATCTTGTTTATCAATAGTGGAGACAAGACATACAGGTCAAAATAAAGTATGGAAATAGGTTGGTCAGATTTGTTATTTAGAGTTCTGATGGGACAACAAAATCTGCACCGCTAAAATTTAATTTCCAAATACTAGGCAGTGATCAAGTTGTTAACTTGACACTATAATATGTCAATTGTGGAACACCAACTCCGCCAAACATTAACACTGGCTCTATATATGTGGACCTAAAATTTGAACTGTAGAGACAGATACCAACATGTTAGGTTGAATACAATACAAATTCAATCCAAACAGGTCTATTCACTTTAAAAATAGTACAAAAATTTTTACAGAAAATTCAAAATATTTTGATTGATATTATTTTCAATGTATATTGTTAATACAAAATACATGGTATGGTATAAGATTGTTCTTTGTTTAATGACAGTAAATTCCGATCTTTATAATAAGCATTATATTTCTAAAAACCTATTTCTTTATATTACAGAATTTAACTTATTGAAACCACAGAAAGCTAAAAGAGGTAAGTACTAGAATTAAAGACTAATTTTATCTGTACAATATTTATAATTCTGTGATTCTTGATATTTCACTTTTAGACTGTAAATGAGATCATTATTCTTATTTCAACATTATTCTTGGATTTATTTATAACTTTAAACATGTTGTAGATTATTGTATATATTTAGTTAGAATATTACTGATTATTAATGTCCTAGACTTGTTATGCTATTTACATTAAGTTTTACTATAAATCTAATTAAATTTTTCTTTTCTTTTTATTGCAACAGGAAATAGAAAAGTAAGTATACTATTATTTTTTTTTTTAGCTAAGAGACGAGGACTGCTGGTCAGTCTTTTCTTATGTTCAATTTATGACCATATATTATTACATTATGCTGAAACATTATTGGCAATGTTAAAAGGGTGTCCCAAGGGGGTGGCATCTGCTCTGCAGACATATAAAAAACCCTTGACAGTTTAAAGATACATTATGTAAGATTTAAATAAAGAGCTAGCCATTCTTGCTATGATAGTTGGAAATAGATAATGTAAAATGAATAATTTGAAAATTTCATTTATATTACTCTATTGCGAGCGAAGATATAAGCCTTTGAAGGTTTGACAAGATGTGTGCAATAATTTCAACCACCGTACTGGTTATTCGAAGCTGAGCCTCGCTCCTTCATTTTTAAATTAAATTAAAATATGGCTGAACCATTCTAATCTATTTAATATCGGAGAAATCTGATGTCATCGAGAGTTGATTATGGCCTGGATCAGTTAATTAATGTCTAATTAATAATTTAGAAAACATTTCAGGCCTAAAGAAAGACCTGCATTAGGGAGATTTAGCACTTGTATAATGTATGTTTAATTTGATCCAAAACTGCCACCACTGTCCAGACAATTCACCTTCCTAGTATTACCCGAAGTAGTTTCCAAGTGATTAAAGTATTCCCTTCCTCTCATATCTAAATTTTTGTAAATTAAAGCTTTAGTTTTTTAATTTTTGCAGTTTAGCTAATTTTGTTTATTATTTTATTCTAGTCTCCAGATAGACGTAGAATCTCTATGGAAGGAAGTAATCAAAAGGTACAATATTATCTCTATTTTACTTGTATTACACTAATAGGTTCCCATGGATACTTGCATTAACACTTATTCAATTAAAATGGGCACATGCAGAAGATATAGTTTAGTGTATTCGGAGCCGCTAAAAAATGTCACATTATTTTGTACAACATCAATGAACATGTTGAAATATTATCTTCTGAGAAGTAGAGCATCATCAAATATCGATTAACGAACTGTTGCATTGACTTTTAATTTCTACCATGTGGCATTTCCACATATTCAAATTTTAAATGATCGTGTTGAAATATTATCTTGCGAGAAGTAGAGCATCATCAAATATCGATTAACGAACTGTTGCATTCACTTTGAATTTTTACCATGTGGCATTTCCACAATTTCGAATTTAAATGTTAGGTCATCCTTTACGTGCACGCCAACAGAGTACACAGGTGGACCTTGGTTTTTCATACTATATAAATGATTGAATGGGTTTCCTTATCAGTCTCCGTTCTGCAATACTGACAAGGGGAGACCAACCTGGAAAATGCTGATGGACTTTCTTGGTTAGCACTCGGAGCGAACCCGAGACCTGATTCATGAGCCATCACCATACTACTTGCCGGCGTGGTTTCCACCTTGTCAGTGGTGCCTGACAAGGGCAGCTATCTAGTCGTTCGTATGTTACGGAAAACAAGGTCCCGTGTACACATTGGCATGCACTAAAAGATCCCTTGGCAGTTGGTATTTAATATAAGAGTAGGTCGTAAGCCCACTGTCCAGGCAAAATTTCCATCTGAGCACACTGTATGGTGTGTGCCAGCCTTCATCAGCCCAATCAGAGCAGAACAGTAGGACATTAAACCCCATTTCATTTCATCCCCATACTCATTCCAGACAATACTAAACTATGAAGTTTTAAAAATATTAAACAATTTGCTTTTAATATTTTACAGATATCAGATGATCGTGGCCGTACTTTAGATGTCAATCCCAGAACAGGACAGAAGAAAGCAAGGTCATTACCTCGTGGTGAAAACCTTGTGTTAAGTGATGTAGAAATTGCAGACAGATCTCTTGTTTCATTGGATAATTCTTTGAACCATCCAGACTTAGACGACAGTGCTGTGGACACGTCGCCAGATGTTACAAAACGAGCACACAGTTTCCGTCGCGCGACACGTTTACATCCTATATACTCTACAGACATGTCTAGTGTCCCGTTAGATACAGAAGAGAAGACAGAAGCTATGGATGTAGACTCGGATACGGACGATCCTAATTTAACTCGCGATCATTTACAAGAATATAACGACTGCGGATTCACAAGTCGCTCTGATCTCGATGAGGAATCAGACAATGAAAGACTGACCAGTGGTACTAATTGTAATGAATTTCAGGGAGATACAAATGGGTGTGATATTTCCTCGAGTTTGCCTACTCTATTGGACGGTAATGATTGCGATCATCTGAAATCGCGATCAGAAGTGATTATATCTACAAATCGTAATTCTGTTAACGATGATAATGAGTGTTCTAAAAGTGTCAGTGATCTAATGGAAGTCGAAAACGAGAAAAAGAAAACTAGTATATTTCGTGGTCGACCTCATGTTACCACGACATGGATTAAGAGTAAGAAAAAACCCAAAGCCTCCGAAAACAAAACAATTACTGCTTTTAATGATTCCTTCAGGAAAAAGTCACATGAAAGTGTAAATAAAGACAAAAATACAAAGACGGCTGTACAACAGTTATCTAATGAAAGTGATTTATTGCATGCTCAGAAGGGTAGTAATGCTCGACTTACAAACTGGAGTAGTAATGATAAACTTCTCACAGGATCCAGTACAAGTCTCGCACCCAACATGGAAGATCCTTGGGTTAAACATTCAGAGGTGAGAACCTCAAGGAGCAGCTCTGTTTTATTACCTTCCAGTTCAAATAATGTACCTGCAGTGGGTCGTCCACGTAATAAATCGGATGTTACGGACAGACGAGCACTGTCAAGAGATAATTTGGATTGGATGGTTTATTTGAATAGGAACTCGTTAAATGAATATCCACAAAATGTGAAATTTTTGTCGAAGTATTGTACGCCACCTAGAAGTACCATGACTTCAATTAAACCTAATAAAGGTGTATGGAGGTCCGAGTCCACCAAAAGCGACTCTGTAACAATTCCACACCTGACCTCTCCAAGATTGTATCCCCATTCTGACAGTCATACACCAACCCGAGGTACCAATCTCTCTCGCTCAAACTCAACACCAGCCGGTCGATCATATTTAGAATTTGGACGAGGCTTTGGTAGAAATCGTGCTGCTTCATTAGATTTGGACACTTTTCAAGAAAGTGAAAGAATAATGGAGGAAATGGAAGACTATATGAAACATTCTCCCCATCCATCTCTCAATCACGCTAAATTCCCTACAGCAATACCCAATAACGAAGATAAAGATCTCAATAGATTGTCCGGTGTTTCTTCGCTGTCTACATCATCATACGATAGTCAAGGTAGTCATTCCAGCTCTAGTGACGGTTTAGTCGGATCACTAAAAAATAAAATCAGCAGTTGGACAGCTAAAATGAGTAAAAGAAATGAAGAATACGAACAGATGTCTGTAACTTCAAGTGTATCTGATATTCGACCGTCATCATTAGTTTTATCAGATGAAGAAAAGTATGATAATAATCTAAGTGTTTCTCCTAAATCTTTGTCTGTTTCACCTTCTAAAGACCTCCCAAACTTTAACTATTCACAGAACACTCTCAAAAAACCTGTTAAATCGAATAGTAAAGAGCCTGATTTACAGTCTGTTCTTCTAGAAGGTGGTCTAGGCAGTTCATCGGTTGGTTCCAAGTTAGCTCATAATCTGCCACCAAATATAGAAGCCATGTTGGCTAACAAATTTCAGTCACCCACCAGACCTCATAGTGCCTGTGTTCTCCGCGACACTGATTCTCTATCATCGTATGATTTCTCTAGTAAAGAAGGTACACCTGAACCGTCTGCTAGACATTCTCTCCCTCCAGACAATAAAACAACAGATGCAATTATGCCTGCTACGTTAAAAAACACAGAATGTCAACAGTCAGATTCTGGATTTAGTATGCAAAGTGATGTCACAGATTCTTGCGATCTTTCCAGAAGTCGTGATGAGATGTCAAACTCCTTTGAAGAAAAATATAAAAATGAACCTCAAGAAAAGCCAGAAATTAAAACACCCAAGCCTAGTATTGTGCCTAACAAAAGTTTATCGCAATCTCCAGAAGTTAAAAATAGAACCAAAGACAGAAACCGAACAATGTCCAATTCTTCCATGGAATCAATGGATAGTTTTTACGAGAGAAGATTATCTGCTGCTTTGGATGCAGAAGTATTTCGCGACTCAGCTGTCTTTTGTGACATCGAAGTGGATAGTAAACTTAAGTCTAAAGAAAACACTCCTGAACCAGAACATGGAGTAAAAACACCTCGGAAATCAATTCGTGATTATGTACAATATCTGGAAGAAAAGAATAAACCAATACCTCCTAAAACATTTGGTGTTCGTCGTCGTGAACCAGCAGCTATTATCAAACAAAAACTTGACCATCTAAAAGAAAGTTCTCAATATCGTAAACCAAACAGTCGACCAGCCAGTGAAGAACGTGAACTTTCACCTCCTAAATGTGTCCGCGAACTTCAATCTACCTTAGTAGCAGAAACCCAGGGTAATCAATTCAGACATCGTCGCGGTCGTGCCGAGTCAGAACATAGTAGCGAGAGTATATGTAGTAGTAACAGTTCTACGTTAAGATCAGCCAAGTCTCTTGGTAGACTAGATCAATTGAACAATGAAGTAGAGAGTTTAGTTATTATGAAAGGATGGGTTCAACAACTTATTAGTAAATTTCAAAGTGATAAATGACAGTTATTATAAATGATAATGACAGTTATTATCAACGATAAAGACAGTTATTATCAAAATTAAAAGACAGTTATTAAATACAATAAAAGACAGTTATTATAATTGATAAAAGACAAACAATTATTGAAACATTTAACTTGTGATGAACAAATTAAAACGATTCTATATTTTGATCATTTTCAATATAACGCAACAAATTTTTTATAAAATGTGATATAATTTATCCTTAAACAATATGTGCTTTCTTACAAACTTGTATAATGAATATACAACTGGCAGGTGTATGTCTTATATAGATACATTATTTTATTATTGTGTACGTAGTTATATGTAGGTACTGAATGTTTTGTCGGCAGAATGATATATATATATATTAGATTGGTATATTAGATATGCATTAAGTTTACGTGCAATAGTTTGAATATGTTGTTAAACGTGTAGTGTGAAGGGAAGGTTGAGATATGCCAAGGTAATGTTTTATGTGAAGGATTCCTTATCGAATATTTATGAATATTTATAGACTTGCAGTGCTTTTTAAGTGAAGGGTATGACAATGCTGTAGAATATGCTTTCCCCCAATGGAATTGATTAATTACACCAAGGATATTCATTTTACTGAAAAGCTCAGGATTATCTCATTAATCTTAATATACAAGTAATTATAATACATGAAATGTGTTTTTGATTTATTTTGTATTCTATTTATAATACATTCATTAGTAATGTACAACAACAGAATGTTAGATTGGTGATCAAAATTAGTGATCAACTTGTCATTGTGCCATTGGTATTTAAATACAGTATCTTGTTGTGTAGTGGTGTTAATTAAGGACCTAGATTTATTTCGGAGATGAAATTTATTTTTCTTCTGTTATAGATATATGAAATCTGCAGAAAAAATAAACTTGATATAGATATGTGTGTATATAAATTATATTCCAAAATCAAATTGTTAGATAGTTTTCTTGATGGATTTAATGTAGTTTGACTCATCTGATATCTTTGATTATTTGCTTATTTAAATTAAGGATTAACATATGTACATAATAGTATTTATAACATGCCATATATTTATATAACTGTACATATGTATATAATTTTGGCTATATTTCATGTATTCTATTGTTATAAAAGTGCTTCCTTTAATGGTTTGAATGATAGATAATCAAAAACTGTTTTCATTTGTGAATTTGTAAATTCAATTTGTATAATTTTCTACAGTAAAAACTTAATGAAAAGATTTGTGTTATCAACTGGCATGGTTTTTGATTCTCCGGTTATACGTGACGAGGAGTAGGGTCGCCTGTCCAATCTCTTTGGTTTCCCCCTGGGGTGTCCGGTTTCCTCCCACTGCTAAAGACCCCTACGCGCAAGCAAATTATTGAACCATGTGTTAGTCCCGAAATGAACTAGTTTGTGTTGAGTTGACGTTAAACCCCATTTCTCTCTCTCTTTCTGTTATTGATGTGGTCAAGGTGGTGTGGTGTGGGTATTGTTAGATTACTATTAAACCAGTTATGTGGTAGGAATGAGTCTGTGCAGAGGTCTCCTCCCTTGATACCAAGTGTATGTTTAAAACATATATATATAACATTTTTTTTTTCTGTGCAGTCAAAAAATTTAGTTTTAAAGTCCAATTCTACAGCATCATCTTATTGGGCAGACTTTGTGTCGGTTTCTTAAAGGGGATTTGATCCCTTCATTGGCTGTGAAAGTTCATTGGGATTTTCTGAAGTGGTTTCCCCTTGTCAGAGGACAGCTGTCTAGTCATTCGAATGGAACAAAAAAAACTAAGGTCCCGTGTACATACTGGCTTGCACATAGAAGATCCCTTGGCAGTTGGAATTCAATATAAGAGTAGGGCATAGTGCCGCTGCCCGGGCAAAATTTCTTTAATAGCACATTGTATGGTGTATGCCGGTCTTCATTAGCCCAGTCGGAGCAGAAAAGTAGGGTGTTAAACCCCATTTCATTTAAGGGGGTTTTGATGGCAGAATGGTCTGTGTGGATTTAAAATCATTGAGTTAAGCAGCATAGTTTTGATCTCACACTTGTACATGACAAGCAGTAGCATCCTTGTCCAAGCAAGCAAAATAGTTGAACCATGTTAATCTCAAAATGACCTAGTTTGTGTCAAGTGGATGTTAAAAACCCCATAAATTAAAATCTCTCCTGTACACAATGTTTGATGCAAGATCAGCAGCTTCATAAACAAGCAGTTGCCATGCAAGATATGCCCACATTTTGCAAGAGGTGGATGAAGAACAAGCTAAAACAAAACGTGTTTTTTCATACTATCAGGGGCCATAATCCAGTAATAGTCTGAAATGCTCAAATATGGAAAGGAACCAAGATCTTTGGGATACAGACTGGTCTTTAGCCAAGTGTACAGATTAACAAAGACTAAACATCCTCTTCTTCACTACAGTTTTTATTGTTAATGAAAAATTACTCCAACAATGATAGTGCATGGTTGACATGATTGGTAATTAATCAAAAAAGTTTATAAACTTGTATCCTGATCATTCATAACATATTTCACACATAATCAAACGAGTAACAATATATAAACAGCAATGATAAACAGTTATTTTAGATGAAAGCAGCCAAGAAATTTTGTGCAAGCAAATTTTGATTGTGAAGGAAACTGAGAATCTTTGCTGCGCTGATAATTTTCAATGTGCTTTTAATTTAAAATATATTTTTTTTATTTTACACATCAATGCTCATGGTAATAATCTGTACATTCATGATTAAATATATTCAAATATACAACTTCAATACACATAGGTTATACTTCATATACACGGTTTAATTATCCTTTATATATATACCAAAATATAATCTATTGTTTAAAATGTAATACTTAGTAGTAAGTACAAATAGTTTAATTGCAGAAACAACAGCCATTTTTTAATAAATGTTTCAGTATGTTCTAACATAATGTGTGTACCGGTACTTCACTTACACAATACTTTGTTTATTCATTCTAAACCAGAAGGACCTCTGAGCAAATTTTGTTGCCCTATAACAATGAAAACAACAATGGTGGCAATATTTCTGCAGGAGAAAAATTGTATTGTTATTTTTATTCTGTAGACTAATCCAAATCAACAAATGTTGCAGGAAAATAATCAGAAATCAGATTTTGCAGAAAACTGATTTATGCTCCTTAAGTATTCACTCCAGTGAATTTGTTTGAAAGAGACAGTATGTCCACATTAGGCACAAAACAATCACTTTGCAAAGTGGAGAACAGCCAGTATGTGGTCTAATTTGTCCTAATCTGTATAAGGATAATCTGTAAGGTTTTATCAACTACATATTGGAGAACACAGGAGGGGTTTAATGGCTGAGTGTACTATATATAGACAATTTCAATCACTGTATGGATGGATTTCACATCTTTGCCTTTAATAATGGGTAGTTTGCAATATTTTCAGTATTTACATCAGTTTTATATCATTCATACAAATTACAAATCATATATTTCATACATTAATACGTAAACACAAGAATTAATATTTGAATGGGTAAACATTTTACTTTGTGACAAATAATATAGTCAACATTATATAACATTTTTAACTTTAACTTGTTAAATTAACTAAATATGGCACAAAAATTTATTTACTGGTTTACATGACAAACTTTACCCTGTATATTTCAAAAATTTCTAATTAACCAGCAAACAGAAGAAAAAAAAAAAAAAAAAAATAATGAAATAAATACAGAAATATAAACTATTTGTAAGGCAGAAACATAAAGCAACATTACTAACAAATCACCAGCTAGTTCACAAGTACAAATTTATATTCAGATAATCTTATTATTTTTTTAAGAAACTGCATATTTATAAAATTTGTTGCAGAGTCTGCGCACCGATCGAAACTGTAAAAACAAATAAATCTAGCACAGATTGACACTGTAAATAAAAAAGTTAATTTTTTCTTAAAAAAGAATATTTAATATTTCAAACTAGTTGCAAGGTTGAAATACTAAATATTCTTTTTTTAAATATGCGGTTTCTAATTTGCAGCTTAGAGAAACACAAGCAAACTCTGATTTGTAAATCATATCATGACAACAACAGCAAAGTAAAAATAAAGGAAATTGAAATTGACAAGGTACATCTTCACATACACAAAAATTTGGTTAAATTTTGGCAAAGAAGTCAAATTTTCTTTCATACCATGATGAGCACAATGATTTTTTTTAAAGCACAAATTACAGATAAGATGATCACCGTATTTAACAATAAGATTAAACTTAACAATGAATATATTTATCTTTAAAACACCACTATATTTAATAATTACACAATATCAATACAGGTTTAAGTAGGTAGAACAGTTTTATTTTATGTATATTGCTTTAACTATGGTTTATTAGCCATGTAAACTTCATAAAAACTTTACTGTTATAGTGACTATTTGTGTCGACAAATTTAATTTATCACTTTTAGGCCTAATAGCAAATATCTCCAGTTATGTACTGTGTATGTGGGATGGTAATGAAAGTAATCATCATCACTCCAGATGAAGATATGTATACAGCTATCCAATGATTAAGAATGTCAAGTTACTAAATTATCTACATCCAAACATGATCAAGTCTAGAATATCAAAATTAATATTCAAGGCAATTCTTAGTATAAGGTGAAACAAATGCATTTTTAGAAACTGTTACGTTTTTTAACTGCTGGATTCTGTAAAGTCAATCTATGTATTGCTTCTATCTCCTTTATTAACGCAATCTCATTTCAAATTCTGAACATGATTTGTGAACCGACCGACTATGCACATTATAATCTTAAAATGTATTGCACTTTTAAAGACTTGCATGTTCCACAGCTAATTACACACTCATTTTAATTTTAGGTTCGACAAAACAAATGTCACACATCTATGTTAAATGAAACAAATATTCACCACATTACTATAAATTATGTTAACTGATGAAGCGTTAGAAGAGTTAGAACCAATTCAACTTAAACCTTTTATAACTATTTTTGTTTATCACACCAATCACCACTCTCTTATTTGCACCAATATAACCGTTTAAATTAATATTATCATATACACATTAGATAAACAAAACCGTTGGGCTCATATTTTGTATGAACCGTATTTAACTGGCCAATTAAATAAAATGAAGAAACTCTGTAATTTTACTTTTCAGTTTAATAACATCAGATGAACACTGGGTTTGTTTTTTATTACAATATTTCAACTAGTATATATTTAAAGATGCATTATGTAAGATTTAGATAAAAGCTGGCTGTTCTTGCCATAATGGTTCCAAAATCGATATTGTAAATTAATATATTGAAAATTTCAGTAAAATTACTCGATTAGGAGCAAAGTTATGAATGTTTGAAGTTTTGACAAGCTATAGCTTTAATAGTCTTGATGGTCAAGTACAACTGTGATGATAGTCCTTATTATCCATTATAAAATCCATTTAATATCTTGGCCATCTGAAGGCCAAGATAGTTGATTATGGGCTCGCCATATGAATAAATGTTTAATAAATAGTTAAACATACATTATGCAAGCGCTAAATTTGCCTATTGCAGGTCTTTCTTTAGGCCGAAAATGTTTTCTAAATTATTAATTAGACATTAATTAACTTATCCAGTCCATAATCAACCCTCAATGGCATCAGATTTCTCCGATATTAAATAGATTAGAACAGTTCAGCCATATTTTGATTTAAGCTAAAAATGGAGAAGCGAGACTTAGCTCAGAACAACCAGTACGTTGGTTGAAATTATTGCACATGTCAAGCCTTCAAAGGCTAATATCTTCGCTTGAAATAGAGTAATTTGAATGAAATTTCCAAATTATTCATTTTACCTTATCTATTTTCGAACTATTATAGCAAGAATGGCTAGCTCTTTATCTAAATCTTACATAATAAATAGTTAATATAACATTTGAAGCCAGAAAAAAAAGACCTGCAATAAACAGATTTAGCTTTTACATAATGCATCTTTATCAACTGATGATCCGTCCAATTATTAATATATCACAAGCTCAATAATTTCACAATATTAATTAATATCAAATTAATGGAATAATATTTAAAAATGATCCTAATATAATATGAAATATAAGTTGAGATATGAACATAAAATATTGATTAGTTTAATCGATTTTACCCCGTCATTGAGATACAAAATATCAAAACTGATTAAAAGAAATCAAGAAAAGTAAATATTCAGAGCAATAATTTGTTATGACTGAAATGCAGAGCTTTTGACCAAAATCTACATCACACAACATATCTACAGTGTGTGTCTACTATAAGACAAAATATGATATGAACAGAAATTTGTGATTACGTACAAACCAATGAATAATAATAATAATGAAACAATAATAACAGGCCTATTTATATATAACTATTATTCGATGGTAATTGTCCATACATCAGCTATATTAACACCAGGTTTTCTAATAGTTAAACTCTTTTCTTCACTATTATATTTATGAGCCAATCTTTTACTATTTTCACCACCTGAAAAATCCAATAGATTATTATATAAATACCCGAAAAGTCCAATTAATCATTAAAATAGAAATAAGCTTAAGCCAGTAATTAATCAACCTTTAATCATACTAATTGCTAAATATGCATTTTAATATAGAAATTCTTACAGTTAACCTCTGTCATTTGTTTACCATGTAGCCAACTAATTTAAATGTGGACGGTTTTAGGATACAGTAAGCAGTATAATATATTATGTTTGTACACTATCAAAGACCTGACATAATTTCTGTTATACAGATTCATATGAAATGAAATAGGGTTTAACGTCCTACTATTCTGCTCCTGCTGGGATAATGAAGACAGGTATATGCCATACAGTGTGCTATGAGGGAAATTTTGCCCGGACAGTGACGCTACGGCCTACTCTTATATTGAATTTCAACTATCAATGGATCTTTTATGTGCAAGCCACACAGGACCTCCGTTTTTCGTTGTATCCAAATGACTATATGCTGTCCCTTGCCAGGCCCTCAGTCATGCACCACTGACAAGGGGGAACTACGCTGGAAAATCTTGAACTTCTCAGCCAATGCAGATATTGAACATGGGATGCCTAGGTTCACAAGCCAACGTCTTACTCACTGAGCCATTGTGGCTATCTAATACAGATTAATAACAATATTGCTACTTTAACAGGTGTTTTTCTATCGAAGTCTGAGAGAATATTTTTATTTGGACCTGTCTTGACAAAACAGTTATTATGAGACCGACATACATGTATACTTCATTATTATTTTCATTAGTTATTCATGTATATATGCTCTGATACCAATTCACATTAATACTACACAACTACACAAGTACAAAGTTTAAATACAAAAATTGACTTCTTCACCTAACTCTGTCCAATATAAAATGTATTAAACAAGTGTATACTTACTAAAATTTTTAATAGAAATATTTAAAGGATTCTTTGGATAACCAACTATGATAATTTTTTCAATCCATTCTCTTGTATTAAACTGTCCTTTAGGATCTATATTTCTGTAAAATATACAAGACGTTTTCAGTTAACTTAATTCACAGTATCATAAATATAAGAAATTCAGTACATATCAAAAATCTTATAAATTTAATAAATTTCATAACAATCTGATTAAAACACAGATCCTTTTTCATTTCGGTTTTTATAGTTCAAAATTTCGTTTTTATTTGTCTACTACACTAGGATCTGGAAGATTTGTTATACAACAGGTGTTCTGGATGGCATGAGGGATTAGCCAATGAAACTATCTGTTATGGCGACTTCTTGGCATGCCATGCACGGAACTGTGGGTAAACCCCTAGAAACATCAACGCTGATTGATTGATCAATGTCTGACGTCATAGGGTCAAAAGATGCATGTATGACCCCTCACACGACCTTCCAGTACGACTGGTCAGATCTTAATGTAGTGTAGGCCATCGAAAGTATAAAAAAACGAAACGAAATATAGATCTGTATTTTAATCAGATTGAATTCATAAATATAAGAAATTTTATCAATTTTGTTTGTGTAAAAAGTATGCAAAAAAAAAAAAACAACAGAGAACTTACTTTGATGATAAATTGTTATTGTTAAATGTAAATTCACGATGCAAATATTCTCCGTTCCTATACTGGAATGTATGATAGTCATCTAGATAGATTTCTCCTTTAGCATTTCCCTGGAATTAAACACAAGATGTTATTTCTCTGAAATTGAACACAATATCTTATTCTATTATTTTCCTGAAATTGAAGATGACATTTTGTTTTATTTCTTTCCTGAAATTAAAGACAATAGTTTACTTTTCACCACTCCTGTGTACTGGAACAGGCCATTATCTCAAACAGGTTTTATCCAACTAGCCAGTTTCCATTTTCATTAAAACTGTTACATCTACTGAAAATCGATTACAAATTCAGCAATGGTTATTATTTTCATGGATTTTCTTCACAAAAATGGATAAATATTATTGAACACATCACAATGGTAGATAGTAGTATCAATGTTGGTACAAAATGACACGTTTACAGAAGATATATCAGAGAATTGAATCAAAGAAATTTCGACGGCCAAATTTACCGATGCAAGTATTGATGTTTGCTCCAAATGCATCCAAGTGTAAAATTTACTTGATGTCAGCACTAACAAACATTGAGATTTTATTAAGAGGTCCCTTTAAGCCCAACTGATTATTATGTCACATTTACTATGTATGGCTGACAAAATACATTATATAACATACCTGTTGATCTAGACAAACTATCAATGTAAACGGATCTTGATACATAAGGCTGGATGATCTTCGTGGTCGTAATTTACGAGGTATAATAGATCCTCCTTTTTGGTAAACTGGTATCTGTCAATAAAATTTAAATTATATTTATTTATACTGCAGCTTTTTATCCATGTGATGAATCTTACCAAAACTGACATAGCTGAAAATGAGATACTGTGCTATTAAATGCTGTAAAAATAAAGTAAGGTTAGATACCGTTCACAGAATAAATGAAGATTTACCTTATCTAATGGAGCTGCTACATTTTTGGTGACTCCACCATCATACACCTCATATGTATCAATATCATACCATATCTATAACATAAACATCATAATATAACAAATGTGTCAAATACCATTAATAATATATACATCATGTGTGGCGGCACAGGAAAACCCATCAGATGTCGCGCTGGCTTAATCCGAGTTATATGCCAAAATACAATGGCAAACAATATATATGTCAATTTTCCGTTCTTGACATATTTACATTTATTAAACATTTATCTATGAAACTACAAAGTTGTGAAACAGAAAAATGATTTTAAATACATTTATTTTGAAATACTCTGAACCGTTTGAGACTTGCAGAACGGTGCCGGTGCCATAACAATGTCAGCCTATTTCGTCTGTGTCTTTATAAAGTTGCCTTTTTGCACACTCACACATATCACACATCATTATAAAGCCTGTTATGAGCAGTACATTACTAACTATAGTGCACATAAATACAAAAGAAATAGTTCCCACGCGCATCAAACAAACAAGTCCATTCCCTTGTCTCCATTATTCGACTTTTACGTCCTGTTTTGAGTAGATTTCTCACTATAAGGTTCAATCAATACTAAATTCTACAAAAGCAACATCTATTTAATTGATTTTGATCGAGTTTCATAACCTTTTCAATAGAAAGAAGTCAGTTATTTACTGAAATACGTTAACACTAGTCGTATTCCATTGTTTACAAATTGTCCAAGATGGCGGCGCCCATGAGGAAATCGGAATTCTCTACATTTAAACCCCCTTCAAGTCTCGAAGACGCAGTTACTAAAACACCAAAATATTGTAAATATTTCTTAGCACAAAGATAAATATTGCCTTCTTATTGTAAATAAAAAAATAGTGTGACATTGCGTAAAAATGAGTACTATAAACTGCCTCGAAAGTGTGAAATATCAACATTTATATTTAAACTGCATTTTCTCCCATTTCATTTTTCTTCCAAATGGGTCATTTTCTTGTATTAAATTATGAATATCTCCACAAGTTATCAACCGATTTTGACCATTTATAGACCATTTTGATCCCCAATTTGTGCTTGCTACACACATACCCAAAATAATCTTTTTTAAATTTTCACCATGTGAAGGGTTTTCCTATGCCGCCACACATATTATAACTAGAGCTGCAACGATTCAGTTCGGTGCACCGATAACCGACACTAGCCGCCTCGGTTCGATCCACAATCTACAACGTTCAAATTTCGATTCGGTTCAATTTCAAATAAAAACAACGTACACCTTACCATATGAAAAAAAATGAAAGACCTGTAGCAATTAAGTCCACTTAAAATTTTAAAAAAACTTTGTTTTTACGTAACTTTTAATTTACGTTATTTAACAAAACACGAATGTCACTCGAAAACATAACTAAAACAGAGTGACCTCCCTTTAAAACAATTTCCGTATGCTGACGAAAGTTAATTTATTTAAAATTGGTGACGTACCGAGTGTTCATTGGATGTTAATTTAGGTCAATAGCTTCGGTAATCGTTATATAAATTCTAAACGATCTCATTAGCTGATAATTCTGGTCATTATCTTCGGATATTTTCGTGTTTAGCGATTATTACCCATAGTCAAGTAAACACTGGAAGGTAAAATTATGTCAGACGACGTACTTTCTCGACCACCTGGTCATTTGAAATCTAAAGTTTGGGATCATTTTGGTGTAAGAAAAAACTCTAAAGATGTGGCAACTTGTAGAGTATGCTTCACTGACATATATATAGAAAAAATTACTGGTTATTGTAGCTGATAATCGAATCGAAAATAATCGAATCGAATGGTTAAAATCGATAATCGAACCGAATCGAGGTAGTTGTGAATCGTTGCAGCCCTAATTATAACACATGTATCATAAGATATATTTCATATTATAACATATGTATCAAATACCATATCTATGATACATACATCATATAAGATATGCATCAATATCATACCATACCTATAACATGTGTATCAATATCATACCATATCTATATTATAACATTATTATGTATCAATATCATACCATATCTATAACATAATCATATCTATAAGATATACATCATATTATATAACGTGTAAATTTAATATCATACCATATCTATACATCATATTATATGGTGCAGGGCAGAGGGCCTGACAAGGACAGCTGTCTAGTCATTCGGATGGGACAAACAATGAGGTCCCGTGTATACATATTGGCATGCACGCAAAAGATTCCTTGGCAGTTGGAATTCAATATAAAAGTAGACCATAGTGGCAGTGCCGCTGCCCAGGCAAAATTTCCCTCATAGGACACTGTATGGCGTATGCCCATCTTCATTAGCCCAGTCGGGGCACAATAGCAGGATGTTAAACCCCATTTCATTTCATTTACATCATATTATAACATATGGTATCAATGTCATACCATATCTATGTATGCTTTCAATTTAACATGGAATAATGATTACTGTGATAATCAGATGTGTAATCTGTATATCTATAACACAGTCTCATTCTAATAATATTTCCTAACATACTTCTAATTCTAGCAGCAGTATTTTGAATATATATGTGTGGCTATAAATATGGTTGTTATTTTTTTTCCCCCCAAGAGAAATAGATCATTGATCCAATTATAGATATATCAAATTCTATACCGATCCTGATATAACTTGTAAACAGGTGTATAATTTGATCATATTAATATAAATCAATAAGTTTTATCTTGATATACCATTTTATCATTATTCAACACAATAAATATTTTCTATCACTATCTGATCTAAAATATCAATAAACAGATTGAATTATAACACATCTGTCTATGAATGGATAGGAAAACATTGAAATAATGCAAACAACTTTATGGATAACAATTACTAGCAACTTTAATAATTCAATGTTTTCTACCAGTTTTTTCTATGATATTATTTTCTGCCTTGTACATAACATTTGATTAAAATACAGATCTATATTTCGGTTTTTTTTTTTATACTTTTGATGGCCTACACTACATAAAGGTCTGACCGGTTGTAGTGGAAGGTCAAGTCAGAGGTCATACAAGAGGCTTTTGACACCATTACGTCAGACATTTGATTTACCAATCAACGTTGATGTTTCTGTGCCTAGCACGCCAAAAACTTGTATTAACAGATCGTTTCATTGGCTATTCCATCACATCATCCAGAACATGGCTTATATAACAACTATTACAGATCCTAGTGTAGTAAAGACATGTAAAACGAAATTTTGAACTATAAAAAAGAAACGAAATAGGATTTGTGTGCTTAATAACGACAAGAGAACACTTGTTGAAACGTTACAATATTAAAGTTGCTAGTGACTGTTATCCATAAAGTTGTATTATTTCAATAACACATCTAGCAGAAAGCTAACTAAACTAACTAAAGCTAGTGTTACCTCTTTCAATACTTATCCCAGAGAGAGAGAGAGAGAGAGAGAGAGAGAGAGTTTAACCTCCACTCAACACAAACTAGGTAATTTTGGGACTAACACATGGTTCATTTTTTTTATTTCAATAATTTGCTAGCACCTAGGAGGGGTATTTAGCAGTGGGAGGAAACCTGAGGAACAGGAGAAAAAACACAGGTTGAGCAGGTGATCCTACTCCTTGTCACTACAAACGGGGATTCGAAATCACACCACTTGATTTAATGACGGACCTTGTGATCAAACGTGCACATGTTAACCATTTGGCCACACAATCCCACTCAAAATGGAAGTAATCACTGATTGTATTGTTTAATATACTTACATCATGTCTACCAGGGAAATGTACATTTGTATTTGTTGTTCCTTGATCTGTGATTGGCTTAGCTAATATAGACGATCCTAAAATAAAACATGAAATAAATATAGAAAAAGTTTGTCAATGTCTATTATTGATAGTTTCCTCAAATATTTCTAATCACGATACAACATAATAATCACAATAACTCAATGTCATTTTAAAAACAGTATTAGACCTACAATCCAGAGTTCGTACTAGTGACAATATAGCATACATTATAGATAAACTTTGTTCAATAAACACTGCGTTATATGATATAAAGTACGCATAAAAATAATTGAAATATTATGCTAATAAACAAATTGAGTGTGACACGGTTTATTTGAGTAACACCGGTAATCTAATAAAAATTTATTTCTCAATATTATACATTGGTCTACAAATAATAATTCTTCTTTAACGGATCTCTTCTTCCAACCAAATTGTGATTGATGAAAATATTTACATAAAAATAGAGACATTTTTTCTATTGTATTTTAAATTAAAGTCATATACATGTACTTTATCAATAAAACAAGTTATGTAAAGTCCTTTAAAATTCTGATAAATACCTTTATCAATGTGATTAAATTGTGAATTACAAAATAATTTACCTAGTAAGAATTGATCATCCATTCTAAATACTTCTTTACTTTTAGGATAGTCGACCCACAGTGGTCTAAATATCGGTAAGCCATCTTGTTCTGCTTGATAGAAGAGTGTATACCAATATGGTAATAAGGAATAACGTAATCGTAATGCTTCACGTATAATATTCATATGTTCTTCTGGTAATAGATATGGTTCTCGTCTTTTAGTATCAAGATGGGCATGGGCTCGTAAAAATGGATAAAAAACTCCAGTCTGAAAATGAACATTTTTCTAATATTAGAATTAAAGTAACTGTATATAGTACGTAAATGAAATGGGGCTTAACATCCTACTTTTCTGCACCAGCCGAGATAATGGACTCACTGACAAGGGAAAACCACACTGGAAAATTCTGGGGAACTTTGTCGACCAGCAACATGATAAAACCCAGGCCCTCCTGGTTGCTGAGACAGCTCCTAAATCACTGAGCCACCGTGACTCCCTGCGTTGATGAAACATCTAGACAGTGTTTAAGCCTATTAATGTATGGTCAAGGTGTCACTTTGTTCATTCACATTTTGTGATTTCTTTATTCTTTTTAACTAAAATATTTCAATTTGCTTTAAAACTGGACAAACCGCTAAATAGTTCCAAATATATTTATCCTTGAATGACTTTTACTGATTGAGCACAACAAAAATCACATAACAACTAATATAGAAAACAATCACTGGTTTGTATACAAAAAGCAAAACATTTCGACGAGTGGTCTCTTATCCTTTGCAAGCTTGAAAAAAATTCTGAATTCCAAATTCCAAACATGTCTATAAGTAAAGTTCTCTGTTTATACCTGGTACCATCTTGTTATGAGTTCATGTTCTGGGTTTTTAAAGAATCCACCAACATCAGCACCAGAGAATGTAATACCAGCTAAATTTAATGATAATATCATTGGTATAGATACTTTAAGATGAGACCATTCTCCTATATTATCACCTGTCCATACCGCACCTGTAAAATAAATGTAATGAAATTGGGTTTTGACATCCTACTTTTCTGCACATAGTAGGCTACTAAAGACGGACATATATCATACAGCTTGCTATGAGGGAAATTTTGTCAGGACAGCGGCACTACAGCCAACTCTTCTTTCGAATTTCAACTGTCAAGGTTTTTACATGCATGCCAACACGTACACAGGACCTCACTTTTCCGTCCCATCCGAGAGACTAGACAGTTGTCCTTGTCAGTCCTTCCCTCCTGCACCAAAGACAATAGAGAAGAGCGCTGGAAAAACTCAGGGAACTTTCTTGGCCAACACGATATTGAAACCTAAACCTCCTGGTTAGTGAGTCAGCACCTTACTCACTGAGCCACCATGGCTCCCTCAACAGGTAAAATATATGTGCATTTTCTTGCTATATTCTAATTAGTGTGCACAGTGGATTATTTAGTGCGTATGTATTAAGTTCATCAAACAGTTATCAGTTTGTTTGTACTGTACACAAATCTAATTATGGAGAAAGAGTTCTGACTATGCAAACGTGTGGATTAAATTACTAACTTCTGTTCAGAAACTTCTGAGGATTAAAATACCAAAATTAAATTGATGTAATCTTTGTGTATGTTTATTTGTTATATCAAACTTACTATGTCTCTGTGAACCAGCAAAGAAAGCTCGAGTTAAAACAAATGATCTTTCTTTTCCTCCAGATCTTCTTAATAAACCATCCATAGTAGCTTGATGCTGTTAAAATAAGATTTTAAACAAATTATTATAGCAACACTACACATACACCAAATGCTGGACATTATCAGTCGACCGCTGGTATATCATCAACAGAAGACTGACAGAACTTTTGTTGAGAATGTTAATAATATAGGTCATATCTAATAATTTCAAATGGACAAACAACTGTACAGGATGTATAAATATAGAGTTCCTTGATATGATCCTCTGACAACAACCTGCTGATTGTCTGCTCATCACATTTACAGTTTTAAAAAAAAACAGAACTATTTTCATCATTCTTTCAATAGCAAAGACATATTAATTAAGGTCATTAACGCTTAAAAATATACAAAATAAACAGTGCTTATGCTATAGTATTAAAAGCATAATAAAAAAAATACAATCTTGTTGGACAATTAATTTGACCGATATAAGAGTTCCAATTTAATAATCATAAGAACTATTTTGAAATTCAAGCGGACAGATTGTAGTGTATTAAACTTACAACATAAAGTCCATATATATTGTGAAGATCTCGGTTTTCATATCCATTCATATGTTTAACATCTTTATGAAATGTAATTTCAGGACCGTTAAATACAGATGGTTCATTCATATCATTCCATACAATAAGATCTGGTGTAGAACCTTTATATTCAGATAGTGAGAATTTACTGGTCCACCATTCCCGTACTTCAGCACTAGTAAAATCAGGCCAACTTGATGAGCCTGAAAATCAATATTCAAACACTGAAAATCTGTCTATAAATATGTAAAATTTTAACAGGGAGAACCTGGATACCCTGTAGTTAACCAAGATACATTCTTTTTGCTCACAACATCCATGTTTTTTATCTCGAATGTCTGAGTGTAAATTCTGAAATGCCAGTTTTGATTTTGTGATTCCCTTATCTTGTAGCTTTCACTATTAAACAAAGACTATAAGAGATCCAAGGGACTATTTTATTCTGTGGGAGTATTTCACAGTGGACAGTCCCAAACCTCTACACTCTATATACTTTATAAAAATAAGTGCAGGGGGACCGCACTACACACAAACAAAACTGATATGACAAACCTGTGTACAAAACAAACTAAACAGACATTGCAAGAAATAAAAAAAAATATCAAATCAAGTGAATGAATACGATGGAAGTCACAGAAAAGACTGAGCTATTGCATTACACAACCTGTTGTCAAGAACATAAATGTATTAATAGATTAATATTACCTGGCCAACACCATCCATCATAATCATTACCATCTTTATTTTTAACTAAATAACCTTTATCTCTAGCATCAGTATATACACTATATCCATCTTCACGTTTAAGATGAGGATCAACAATAGTTACTAGTTTACGTCCCTTAACACTTAAATTCTTGATCATTTCTTCAGGATGAGGAAATTTTTCGTGGGCCCATGTAAAATATCTGGAGAGAAAAAAAACAACAAAAATAATATATTTCTTTTAAATTAACAAATTTGATCATTTCCTCGGTATGAGGAGATTTTTTCGTGAGCCCATGTAAAATAATATATTTTTTTAAATCAACAAATTTGATCTCTTCTAAAGAAATTATGTTTTTTGCATCTGGATTTTGCTAATTCTATCATTTGGGGATAGCCAGTGATGAGTAGAAAATAGTATGATCTGATTAGACAATTAGAATGAAATTATAAAATGTTAATACCAAATGATGTTTCAAAATCTACTAACAGTATTCAACTTCAACTAAGAAAATTGCTAATCCACAAAAGACAAAAACTTGCACTTACAAAGCTAAGTAAAAGTTATTGTGAGTGGTTCCTGTGATATTTTCCAGTAACAAAATGGGGACAGTCGAACAGAGCCCATTTTAATATTCCTTCCTTTAATTTCAATCGCAGTAAGAAAACAAAAGGCTATTGAAAGTATAAACTATAAAGAGGTACACCGCGGGTCATCAAATTACTACATGTAACATCTGATGTTATTATACCAACGTTTCCATTTTATAATCATTGACGTTCTTCATTTACTAGTTGTGTCTTTATTTAAGGTAATTCTCTCTTTAATTTACAGACCTTTTATAGAAGACTTGTTTTATAGTTGGTCTTTAGTTCATAAACATACACATAAAAATCTTTATCACAACCAAAACAATTTCTGATAGTACTTACTTTTTACCATCTGTATGTTCAATATCTAACCATATAACATCATATGGTATATCATATTTATCAAAATTAGCATCAACCCTGAAAAAAAAAAGATCAATAATGTTTTAAAGAATACACTAAATTAATATTATTCTAACTTACAGGTCAACAATACAAACAAAAGAAAGAAATTTTACTGATATCATTAAAGCCTACTTACGATTTCACATCATCCTGATCATTATAATTCCATCTACACTGATGATATGCTATTGAATATAACTGAAAAACATTGAAATAATGTAAATAATGTATTAAAAATTAAGGCTTTGGCGGATGATGTCATTTGAAATTTATAAGTCTGGTACATAAAGGTTTAATAATATCCAGGTCCAAGTAATTTCATTACTGCCACCAGAATATCTGAGATCACTTGAAATATTAGGATATGAAACCTTCAATTTCCATATTTTCTATGTGTATACTTACAGGAGGTAATGGCGTGGTTCCTGTTAATCTAGCATATTGTTTAAATACATTAGATGGTGTCGGTCCTAATAATATAAAAATATCTATAACACCACTCTCGGAGAACCAGTGTGTATCTGTCTGGGGTATTTCATTATTTCCTTTAACAAAGTCAGCAATATGGGAGAAAACCGACTAAAATACAAACACAATTCATATTAAAAGATAATAAGCAAGCACTATTATTTAAAAATGAAAAAAAAATTTGTTGTTCATTAAACAATTCATATTGCATAGTCAAGTTCACAACAGATTTTTAAAACAACCAATATATTCTACTACTGTAATGGTCATAAGAAGAAAAACACCACTGTTCATTTACAGCTGTTAAACTGTGGCTTTTGTGGACAGATGAGCTGACATGACAGAGGTGACATTTAATACACTCAAACATAAAATGTGAGCACATTTAAATCAAGATAGTAATTAAAAGAAAGATAGACATTTCTTAATAAATGACTGTACCTTATCAGCTGTATTAGAACTAATATCGATCCATGTTTCAGCAGCATTATGCCAGAAAATACCAACAGTTCTCATTTCACTGAAATAAAAACAAAATTATAGTCTAAGACGTTCAATGGCATCAAAGCTCCTGTAAATATTCTTATTCATATATTGTCTTCTCAAGATTCAAATAGAAATTTCCTAAATAATACAGAAACTTAATTTTAATTAAACCGTTGGGACAGATTTTGAATCCCTTTCAAACTACAATATTGTAAAAGGAAATTAAATGGGGTTTAACATCCTTTTTTTCTACACCAAACAAGTAAATTAAGATGGGCGTGTGTCATACAGTGGGTGCAAGGGCATTTTACCCCAGACACTTCATCGAATTTCAACTGTCAGATGTTCTTTTACATACTTGGCAACATATACACAGGTTAGTGAGCCAGCGCCTTAGCCACTGAGCTACTATGGCTCCCATATCTAAAAAGAATAGTATCCCTAAAATCATTCAATTTCGTTAAGTATTCACCAAGATATGATCAATTGAAAATATCGCAACATTCAGCATCTTGTTGTGACTTACTTGTGAGCATACATTAAAGGCACTGCACCATATAAAGCCATAGGATTGTACAGTTCATACTCAAAAACATCTAAATTAAATAATCTATATGGATCTGTTGTTCTGTAATAAAAACATGAAACTTATATTACAAACCTAAACATAAAAACAAAATATAGCTTGCAATCATGTTGATTAGATTTTTTACTTATGTTCCTGTAATTAAATTGCAATATATATAACATGTCACTCCTAAATCAAATGGCCATCGTACTGTATGTTAAACCCATTTTGCCCAGACAACAGTTTTTCAGCCAATTCGTCACTGAATACCAATATGTACTTGCATGTGTCTTAGATTTTTTGTTTTATCCAAATGATAAAGTAACATTTTAATTGGCAGCCTCATAGCCGCCAGCACTGACAAGTGAGAACGGAGCTTGAAAATTGCAAAGTTCTTTTTGGTCCACTTAGAACCAGGGTCATTCTAGTAGAGAGTCCAGGGCCTCTACTACTCCCTTTCTTAGTTAAAAAAAATAATAATTAATATGTATATTTGTGATATAAATCACAACGTACTTGGTAGTTTTAAGGGCCATAGTATCAGCATGTTCTGGTATTCCATAAACATCTTCAAAACCAGGAAAAGATACATCAATACCCACGGACGATGGACCTGTAAAAGAGGGTGTACATGCAATTTAAGCATGAATACAGTATTTTTTCATAAGAAGTGACTCAAATGAGATGTGTCACAGCCGTTTTGTGCTAGGCAAGACCAGGTGACATTTTAATTTGAATTATGCCCTTCTCCCCACCAAAACAATTTGAAAACTGGGCCACCAATTGTTGATTTGCCATATTTAGTAAATATTTTGGAAATTTGGAGGTTAAATACTTTTATTATAAATACGAATAGATTAAAAAGTTACAATTTTTTTAAAGAGCACGATCCCCTCAATCCACCCTTGTAATACAATTCATAAAGAAAATAATGTGTGATATAAGTGCTATAATGTTTTACCCATATATAGTTAGAAATAATGCTATGACAATACAACTATTTTAAAGGCACATTATGAAAGTTTAGATAAAAAATTGTCAGTTCTAGCTGTAATAGTTAAAAAAATTGATAATGTAATCAGAATATGCTGAAAATTTCAGTCAAATTGCTCCACTCTGAACCAAGATAATAGCTTTTGAATTTCAGGCTAGCCTCGATCATCATTACTAAAGTCGGTACGATAAAAAAAAACAAAAGTCTTGATTATCCATTTTAACGTTTAATTATTTTAAAAAAAATTGTATTCCAATCCGCTAAATATCGCAGGCTAACGATGGCAACAAGAGTTGACTAAGGTCTGGATAAGTTAATTAATGTTGAATTAATAATTTAGTAAACATTTCAGCCCTAAAGAAAGACCTGCAATAGGCAGATTTAGCTCTTGCATAATGTATGTTTAAGTATTTTCTAATATAACCAAATTTTTTTTAAACAAAAAATTGAAATACCAAACTCAATGGCATTTAAATTTACTTTCAAGTTCAGTTATCAACATATCTATTCTGCCACAGGAAAAACAATATAAGAGACTTGCTGATGACCATCAGAGAAAAATTCTACTTTATTTTTGTCATCGATAATAGATGAATATTGTGAACAATAAAATGTCAACCAAGACACAATGAAGTGTATTGTTTGTTTTATCTAATGCTAACATTATGTTAACCGAGTGACATTAACAAATAAATACAAGCATGTACTAGTTTAAACAAGTTGCTGGCTCCCATGTTAATCTCTTAAAACATGCTGAATAAAACAGACAATACATGTATATACTGACTTCATCAACAATCTCTTGTCTCTTATAAAGACTGGACAATAAAAGGTACTATTAAAATGGCTCCAGTTGTCTGTGATATCACTATTTGTAGAAGCAAACGATAAAAAACCTGTTCAGCTCCATTTCAATACAAGAACGTTTCCAAATACTATTAGAATAGAGCTGTGCCATCCCTGCCAGACCTAACATGTAATTTTAAAATTTATTTTTGTCTGTTTTATTGAATGGGTGTTGAACATGTCCTCAATGCAATACTTTGGTCATTTTGAGACTAACACATAGTTGTTTGCGTTTCTAGGGAGGATAATATTTATATAAATATACCATGCGGTTTGCTGTCTGTAAAAGTTTTAAATGTTTCTTCCCACATATCTGGTTCTTCCTCAGTTTTAGTTTCAACAGCATTTTCTTCTTCCTATTTACATGGACATAAGCAAACAAATATGTTTAAGAAACAAATATGTTTAAGAAACTAATTAGAACATATTTGTTCAATTATATGTACTTCACATGACTTTAACAATAAATATAGGGCAGTATTTCTGAATATTCAAAATCATAATGTTTACAGTTCATGACATTATACATGTTACATCTAGTGCAGTAGTTCTATTTATAGCTCATTTATACACCTTATTACTTATTCACACAGTCTTCATTAGCCCAGTTGATGCAGAAAAGTAGGACATTAAACCCCATTTCATTCATTCAGTTTTTGTTTGTTGATAAATCACTTACCTATCCTTATGAAATTAAAATAAATAACAAAACAAAGAATAAATTGTGAGACAATTAAATAATTTTTAGTTTTCATTTAACTAAGAAGACCATAAGGGTTGACTGACATGGGTCTAGCCCTAAGCTGTTTTCCACAATCCCTAATCAGAATATACCCAAATCAAAGTATTGTTTTAAAAAATATATATTTTTCAGTGTACATGTCAATATGGGGTTCACATCAAAAGATTTCCAAAATTTGGGCAAATTCAGATTTTAAGTCCACAACTTTTAAAATTGTATTTAGAAGGCACAGTATCAAGGAAGACTAATGTAAATACTGCAAATTTTATGAAATCAAAATATCTAATCGCCATATTGCTCCATATCACTAAAAAAAAAATGGTTGACTATGTTTTGTCTTTTACATAACCAAGATTCATATACTTCACCTTTTTCTCTTCCCCTTCTGGTTTTTCTTCTTCATTTTCAGCAGGCGGTGCTTCTCTGAAATGGTTTGTAAACCATGAAAATATTGATGAACCAGTGTTGATCAACCAACTCCTATAAATTTAACAAAACCGCTCACATGTGTACGCTCGTCTTTATAAAATGCCAAATATAAAAAAAATCTATTTTTCAGAAAGAGAGACAAAAGAGCATTCAATTTTCAAAATAGACAAATCCACCTCTGATGAAGAATAGAAACCAATAACGCAAAAAATTTAAGCCAAGCAACTTTTTTTTTTTTTACCTTGTAACTATTTTCTAGTTATTAAGCTAAAATTCGGTGTTTTAGATATGATCAATAAAAAATTTAAGCCAAGCAACTTTTTTTTTTACCTTGTAATTTCTAGTTATCAAGCTAACATTCGGTGTTTCAGATATGTTCAATAAAATATTTTTGAATTAAAGACAGGCTGAAACTGTACCTTTGATTTAGTATACATGTAGCTTGCTAATTTTAGAGGAGAAAAGGTTGATGAAATAAAGGGAAAAAAAACACAGATACAATTCAAGCATCACAATTCAAGCTTTAAAGACTACAAAGCCATCACAAAACAAACAAGATAAAGATATAAAATTCATGTTATTTCAATCTGATTAAAATACAGATCTATATTTCGTTTCATTTTTTTATATTTTCGATAGCCCCTACTACATGAAGATCTGACCAGTTGTAGGTCACACCAGGGGTCATACAAGCAACTTTTGACCCTATGGCATCAGACATTTGATTAACCAATCAGAGTTGCTGTTTTTAGTGGGATACCCCCAGTTCAGTGCACGGCACACCAAGAACTCTCTGCAACAGACAGTTTCATAGGCTAATCCCTCACATCAACTTGAATGCGGGTTATATAACAACTCTTCCAGATTATAATGTAGTAATGACAAGTAAAACAAAATTTTGAACTAAAAAATATGAAACGAAATAGGATTTGTGTTTTAATCAGATTGATGTTAATTGATATACAAACATATTAAAACAACAAATTACATGTAATCACATAAGATATGAAATTTGTTACACAGGATCAAAACTTCTTTGATTTAGGTTACAATAAAGTATTGGATTGAGTTGATATTTCAATTAGTGACAGAGAGAGAGAGAGAAATGGGGTTTAACAGCCACTCAACACGAACTAGGTCATTTTGCGGCTGGCACATGGTTCAATTTTATTTCAATAATTCGCTTGCGAGTTGGGGTCTTTAGCAGTGGGAGGAAACCGGAGGACCTGGTGAAAACCCATGAGGTTGGACAGGCGACCCTACTCCGTCACGTACAACCGGGGAATCGAAAAACCCCGCCAGTTGACTCAATGACAGACCTCACGATACAGTGCCGCATATGCTACTCATTCGGCCATCCAACCCCCCGATTATTGACAGGACACTCTCTATATGATTATATTTTCGTTTCAGAAGTTGCTTTCTTTACTAATTTTAGTTACATTTTTGGGGCTTAAACTCTCGTCCATTATACTTATTACTAGCTTTATTTGTGGAAATAATATCATAAATGTCGAAAGATCCCCGCTTCCCAAAAAAAAAACAAATCTAATTATATCAAAGTGTTTTCTTTACCCAAATAAAAAGGTTTATTCATTTCAAATACATATCTATGATGTCATTTAAAAGAGAGAGAGAGAGAGAGAGAGAGAGAGAGAGAGAGAGAGAGAGAGATGGGTTTAACGTCCACTCGACACAAACTAGGTGATTTTGGGACTAACATATGGTTTTATTTAATTTCAATAATTTGCTTGCGGGTAGGGGTCTTTAGCAGTGGGAGGAAACCGGAGGACACGGAAAAAACCCACGAGGTTGGACAAGCGACCCTACACCTTGTCATGTATAACCGGGGATTCGAAACCACGCCAGTTGATTCAATGACAGGTCTTATGATACAGCACGCATGTGCTAACCATTTGGCCATCCAACCCCCCATGTCATTTAAATACAACGGTACATATACAAGATCGTTTGTATAAAACAGATGGGATATGAAAGGTCCTGTGGGAAAGCTAAGCCGGATATATTTAATTAAAAGACAGGTTAACAATGGAAATGAAACATCAATGTACATGTATGTATATATTTATACCACATCCACCAGTTGCTTTATAACCTTGGATACGTACAAAACACAATAATTTATTAAATACTGGTACTGTCTATAAAAGCTGATAATCAAATAGCTCCCTCAACCATTTTATTTAGACAATGAAAAAACATAAGAATGTAACGCATGTATGGTTTTGAAGTTATTAGTTCAACTCCTACATGCTTAGGACACGTATAAAAGGATGAAAAGTCGTTTCAAATCACCCCCACCCCCCAAACCTTTTGTCAATATCTCTATGTCGTTTTTTTTATGAAATGATATTTTTCTTGTTTAATAGTATATTTGGTTGTTGGACTGTTCTGATACCAATATTGACCTGTCTAGATTCAGAAAAAACCCATCATAACTGAATATAATTTTAAACAAGTCGTGTTATATTTTTTTTTTTACAAAAGAGTATTCCCGTTTGAATACATCATCAATCGCAGCATTACGAGCAGACAAAGTATTGATTTTAAAATATTAAAATAGAAGTTGTTTTGTTTACCCACATCAGAACAAACTAATCAATAAATTCATTTTGTTGAACAAGATAAATGACAATAGAGTTTGTTTTTATTACCTCGGTAAAGATCAATAGAGATATATGTTTTCATCTGATAAGTGATAATTAGAACATGACTTTATATGCATTATACATGAGCAATGGTAAACCACCTTTTTTCTTCATAGACTTTCTTACCTCTCATTTAATATAATCAGACCATATAAAAGAATAGGAGAAATTTCAGGAATGTGTTGTGTCTATTAAAGATACATTAGTTAAGAGTTTTATAAAGAGTTGGCCATTCTTGCTATAATAATTTAAAAATAGATGATAAAAAAAGAAAATGTTGGAAATTTCAGTCAAATTACTAGAAATAGTCATCAATTGTGTCTATGAGAATTGGCAATTGTGTCTATGAGAATTGGCAATTGTGTCTATGAGAATTGGCAATCGTTTGATTGACAGACGATAACTCCACCCACACATTCCCGATTATCAAGTAACATGCTCAATGGCTATGGTAGCTTCGCTTGGCAGGCCTTTCATCACCAGTTTCCGGTAGTGACGTAAACGTTAGCTTGGTCCGCCATTTATTGATTTAATTTTAAATGGACAACTGTTTAAATCCAAACTGTTGATTTTGAGCTTGTCGTGTAAATAAAGGTCTAATTAATAATTTCTATAACATCTGAAGTCTAAATAAAGGCTTGCAATATGCAGATTTAGCTCTTGCATAATGTATGTTTAAGTACTTTCAGGTCACTCCTTAATAGACGGTTTGAAATCATTCAGGCTTTTACACCATGATACTTTACCTTTTACTTTGTAAAAATCAAATCATTCTTGAAACTATCCTATTTCTTAAAAATCTGCATCTTGGTTACGGCAACCCACGCTCACAGACTTGTTTCAAAATGATAAACATAGACTCCCAGAAAATGAAACAGGCCCAAACAGATATGAGCCAAACAGCTCATAAAAATTTCTAATAGATGAGATCACAATTGAAGCCAATAAGGTGCTAACAAGGTTTTATAACAGTGGTCAGTAACTCTGGAAATTATCAATACGATTTTTCTTTTCAATATGATGGATAACAACCAATATAAATTTCATAAAATTGGTTAATAATTGCAGCCTATAAAGTGCAAATAGGATTCAGTAACAAAGATGCATAACTTTGGAGGTGATCATCGAAAATCAATGAAAATTAAATGGATCTTCATTTCAATGAGATAGACAGTTCATATCAATTTATAAAAGATATATGGATTATTTTAGCCTATATTGTTCAAAGTAGAAATGTGAAGATAGACAGGCAGAGAGACTGACAAATTATTACCACATTAAAATGTGGCAGTATAAAAAAATCCATATTCAATAGACAAATAAAGCAGAGAGTATTTTCATCTAAAAAAAAAAAAAAAGCTTAAAAATTTGTTCTTTACAACAGTAAGAATTTTTGGTAGCATGCAAAAACCCATATACTTCCAGTAAATTCTTTTTAATACTCATAAATCCATGAGTTCGCTTGAAATAATCTGACCTTTCTTTAGATAAAATGTCTGTCTCAATCTTTCGGAGACGATCTGCCTCCTCTCTGGCAAGATCCTCCCTGAAAATTTTAGAATGTGCAGCATTCGAAGAAATTGAAAATGCAATAGAATTTAAGAGGTACACTTTTTAAAGTCTTTGGTCTGACAGAATATGTTGTTAGTATCAATAGTTTATCACAATTCCACTGATATTACAAAAGGCACTAACAATGGAGACCATTTTCTATTTAGTTTTGAAGAAACAGCAATGTTTCCTCACCTTTACTATTTAAAATTTACTTCATTTAGAAACTAACAATGTGTGTAATTATTACAATACACACTGTTTCTAAAATGATGTACCCAAAACTGAACAATTGGCAAACTAAATACTAGTGTTTAACCTAGACCAGTTATAACCACATGCTTTCTGGTAATTTTACACGGAGAGAAATGGGGTTCAACGTCCACTCGACACAAACTAGGTCACTTAAGGACTAACATATGGTTCTAATTTTGTTTTCAATAATTTGCTTGCGTGTAGGTGTCTTTAGCAGTGGGAGAAAACCAGATGACCCGGAGTGACCCAACTCCTTGTCACGTACAAGCAGGGAATCGAAACCACACTATTTGACTCAATGACAGACCTTATGATGCAACGTGCACATGTTAACCAGTAATTTTACAACTTTGTAAACAGTAGTCTAGTAGTTAAACATGACTGTTAGATTCTAGATTGTAAGCTGAAAAAACACAGCTTTTTCTCCAAAACGAAATATCTTTATCAGTCTCTTCTAGTGAGGTACAGCTCTAAAAGACATCCAATGAGTTTCAATCAAAATCATGTTCAAAAAGACCTTTAACGCCCACTTGACACAAACTAGGTCATTTCGGGACTAACATATGGTTTAATTTTATTTCAATAATTCGCTTGCGCGTAAGGGTCTTTAGCAGTGGGAGGAAACTGGAGGACCCAGAGAAAACCCACAGGGTTGAACGGGCGAATCTACTCCTTGTCATGTACAACCGGGGATTCAAAACCACGCCAGTTGACTCAATGACAGGCATTATGAGACAGCGCGCGCGTGCTAACCATTCAGCCATCCAACCCCCGTATCCCATATTAGACCAAATAAAAGGGTGCTTACAGTATTTATTAGAACATTACATCATAGCCTGAAGATAGGAATTATACAAATTTTCATAAACGATGTAATAGAATTCCAATAAGATTAATGACAAGGTATTATTGTTAAATTGTGACTGTCATGTTTAAATTAATTTATCTAAGGAAAACTATTTACAAGCATTTTGATTATTGTCATCTATCTGAGCATTCATTTGCCTGTGAGGCAATTTTTTCGACCATTACATTTATCTAAGTTTAGTTAAATAATCTTCAAAGAATTTGACATTGTCTCAATTAATGAATCAATAATTACGTCTTTTTATACTTAAAAAAACGTTCCGTATTTGTCATGTTTTAAGGTTAAATTCATTGAAATAACAGTGCCATGTAAATACTCCGGACAGACAATTTTAATGTCACTGGCAGTTATGACTGAACAAAGAGTCCTGGAAATACTTACTCTTTTTTTCTGTAATGTTCAAACTTCATTAAACCCTGAGCATTAATACTAATAACAGGATCATCATTGGAATAAATATCCATTCTAAATGGTTCCACAGATATTACAACTTTATTAGAATCCATAGTGAAAACTATTTTATCTTTATCTTTCTGAGACAGGTTTATACTGAAATGAAAGCATTTGCAAGCAAATTTATACAAATCCATCACAAAAACAAATATAATTCTTATATTTAATGTGTCTGACAAAGCAAATTATATTTATTTGAATATATAGTATCTCTTAAATATAATATACATGTAACGGTACATGCATTTATGGAAATTAATTTCAAAACCTATCAGATAGGTTATCAAACATCTATGTAATTCATTACCAGTAGTGCTGCAGCTGTTAATCAATTCACAATATGCAATGCAAATCAATGTCCATTTTTACACCTAAAGGTGGAAATAAATTCACATAGAAATATTTTCCATTTGTCAATAGGCAAGGTATAACGATTAATTGATGACTTCCTCTGGGAAACAGAGTTTGCAAAATCCCAATTCAAATTTGGAAGCTTATTGACATGCAAGATAGCCTACTTTTACATTTTGTAATAGATGGACAGAAAACAGGGAAAATCAATAGGAATCCTCCTCACATCGAATTAATAATAAATCTGCCCAAAACTCTAGCTTTTACTTCTATCATGATCACAGGATTTTCAGAAAAAAGGAGTTACTTCAGAAGGGAATGTCATGGATCGCTGAATATTGATAAGGTTCGTCCTCTCATGACCCAATGCTATACACAAAATTTGAAATAAATCCATTAACTCTATTTTATAATTCTTTAACTGTATACCAGTAATTAAATGACTTACTTGTGTAACCTAGGCTCTTCTATCAAACTGTCACCCACAGGTATTTCATACCTTTCTTTTATAGGAGACAGTTCGTTTATTTTTACTCTAAACATATTATCTTGTAGACCATATGCCTCTAATTTTAATCTAACATTATTGTTTTTATTTAATAATTGAATGTTAAGACTATTTGCTTGAACTTGTAATGAATCTATTAAGGCTATATATGGTGACTGGCCTGGCTGCATGGCCCTGTTCCGTCTGAAAACAACACAAAAATAAAATATTAACATATATGACATAGTGACCAATATCACAAAAATACAGTAAATCAATACAATCATAAAATGTATGTGTATGTAATTACTAATCAAGCTAAATTTTTCGGTCCAACTCAAATGTAAATTGATTTATGCTAATGTCGTTTCACTCAGGTGTAAATTCACTTCTGAATAATTCACTTCTGAAAATGTTCACTGAAGCATGCCTGCATATTGAAAGAACACCAGAATACATATTTTTCAAAATATTTTTAATTGTGCATTCTATTCATATGACTTGATTAGTCCGGAACATTATTCCTACAAATCTGTTTTTAGAAACATAAAATCTCTACCATGACTCTTGAGTTTAACAACATTTCACTTTGTACTTCTGACTAATTTTTGAGGACCTAGTGAGTTAACATACAGTATATCCTTCAAGGGTTTATCTATTAGCTAATGAGGGTCAATTCCTTTTTACAAAGTTGAGATTTGTTTTCTGTAGGTCAGTGATTTTAACATCTAAGCAAATGAGAAGCTTGATAGATTGAACGTAGTCGCCTTAATTATATTTCTAAAACACAAATATCAAAATTTTTATTATTGGAAATCCACATGTAACGTAGATGATGTTCCTAGTTTCAAAAGTAGTTTGATGCTTGCTGGCCTAGTGAAAATTTTAGATTTATGAGAACATGAACTCGGAAGGTGTACCCGAACATAAGCTTACTCATCTTTGACAAATATTATTCATAGAACACAATCAATACAAATAGATATAATACGTACTTGCAAAATCCACTTTGTTCACATGTTTTAAAATTTTCACGACTCACAGCACTTGATAAAATAACAAAATAACTTAGACAAAACAACAGTTGTAGCATCTTTATCTGGGATCTGAAAATAATAATTAAGTCAATTAGTCGAATATATTTCACCATTAACACAAGGTACAATTTTATGGATACACAATTACTGAGTTTGATACTAAGCGACGTTTCGACGAGGATACTCTCATCTTTATCAAGCAAACAATGAGAGTATCCTCGTCGAAACGTCGCTTAGTATCAAACTCAGTAATTGTGTATCCAAAAAATTGTACCTTGTGTTAATATGTTCAATTACTAAATGCCAATCAAAGAAGATATTTCATCTTGATAAATATCAAAATCTTTTCATTACTCAAATGTGCAGAAATAGCTAACAGAAAAACCTTCTGGGAGGGGGCTCACATTTTGAAATTACTTTTTTCTACACCACATATATATTTCTATAAAGTTATACAGTTCAATAAAATGTGCTCCAATAATATCTCATACTATATTAACCGAGTCAGTCCCCATTCTAAGTTCTAACAGCTCAATATCATCAGAAGGAAACGAAAACAGGATTAATGTCTCACTATCCGTGGAAAAAAAAACAGTCACTCCCTATACAAATCAAACCTTGTTAGGTTATCTCTTTGTACGAGTATTCAATATCATCAGAAGGAAGCGAAAACTGGATTAATGTCTCACTATCCGTGGCAAAAAACAGCTCAATATCATTGAGTAGCTCTGTTATAATATTCATTACATTTACTGAAGCTGATGTACGAGACTTTTGATGTAAATTTAAACATATAATCAATAACTCCAATAAGATGTAGAGCACAGCAGGCAGAAATGATCACAGCAGGGCTGGGGTAATGGTAATGGGTAATGGTAATGGAATGTAATCATTACATTTTTTAAGAAATGGCTATGTAATGAGTAATGGAAGATTTCAAAAGTAATGAGTAATGGAAATGTAATTAATTACATTCCAAAATCATGTAATGGTCAATTACATTTCAATTACTTTTCAATTACATTTTATGACATATATAAATATTTCCAATATGACAAGCCTCAAATTTTATTGCACCAAAGAAGTAATTAAGTGTATCTGACACAAATCCAATTCATTATAATTCTAAAAAAAAAAGATTTAAATCAGTTTTAAAAAATTATAAGAAAAATAAGAAGGCATTAAACATTTTCTTTTATTACTTTTTATGTAGGAACCTTTTTCAGACATGTAACCTAAGAAGTGGATTTCTGATAAGATGTATATTATAATCAAAGATTAGTACTAATTTGCAGCCAATCACTCAGTCAATCACTCAATCAATCAGTCAGGTAGATTAAAAGACAATAAATAGTCTTACTGCACTTTAATCTTAATCTCAAGGTAACAAGTGACAAACCAAACAATGACCTTCAAGTATCTCATCATTTTATGGTTACTTAAAACTAATATATATTTTGTTTTAGAGTCATGCTGAATAATTTACCATTTATAATACAATATATTATAGAAAAACTATTTGGACTGATTAAATTTTTTTAAAAATCACTTAAAAGAAAATACAGTTCATTAACTATAGTTTTGATTCATTTTTCAAGTCATACAGTGAAAATGTCAGTTTTTGTCACCACTGCCCATCACTATAAAATTTGCCTTGATGTTATAATTGCTAGAAATAATAATTCATAAACAAATATCTATTAAATGAATCAAGAATTATTTTGAGTTTGACTTTGTAGGTACTTCATGGCAGAAAAATAATGTTGTCTTTTTAATTTCTATGAAAATGTTTTTTTATTTATATAGTCATAAAGTAATGGGTAGATCTAATGGTAACTAATTACTTTCAATGTAATGGGTAATGGTAATTAATTACATTGCTAAAAATGAAAAAGTAATTGTAATGATTAAAAAGTAATGGTAATGGTAATGTAATTAATTACATTGGCAGATCAACATAATGCTAAAAGCAAACGATGAGAGTATCCTCGTCGAAACGTCGCTTAGTATCAAACTCAGTAATTGTGTATCCAAAAAATTGTACCTTGTGTTAATATGTTCAATTACTAAATGCCAATCAAAGAAGATATTTCATCTTGATAAATATCAAAATCTTTTCATTACTCAAATGTGCAGAAATAGCTAACAGAAAAACCTTCTGGGAGGGGGCTCACATTTTGAAATTACTTTTTTCTACACCACATATATATTTCTATAAAGTTATACAGTTCAATAAAATGTGCTCCAATAATATCTCATACTATATTAACCGAGTCACTCCCCATTCAAATTAACCATTGGTAGATTATCTCTTTGTACAAGTATGTATTATTACTCTAAGTTCTAACAGCTCAATATCATCAGAAGGAAACGAAAACAGGATTAATGTCTCACTATCCGTGGAAAAAAAACAGTCACTCCCTATACAAATCAAACCTTGTTAGGTTATCTCTTTGTACGAGTATTCAATATCATCAGAAGGAAGCGAAAACTGGATTAATGTCTCACTATCCGTGGCAAAAAACAGCTCAATATCATTGAGTAGCTCTGTTATAATATTCATTACATTTACTGAAGCTGATGTACGAGACTTTTGATGTAAATTTAAACATTTAATCAATAACTCCAATAAGATGTAGAGCACAGCAGGCAGAAATGATCACAGCAGGGCTGGGGTAATGGTAATGGGTAATGGGTAATGGAATGTAATCATTACATTTTTTAAGTAATGGCTATGTAATGAGTAATGGAAGATTTCAAAAGTAATGAGTAATGGAAATGTAATTAATTACATTCCAAAATCATGTAATGGTCAATTACATTTCAATTACTTTTCAATTACATTTTATGACATATATAAATATTTCCAATATGACAAGCCTCAAATTTTATTGCACCAAAGAAGTAATTAAGTGTATCTGACACAAATCCAATTCATTATAATTCTAAAAAAAAAAGATTTAAATCAGTTTTAAAAAATTATAAGAAAAATAAGAAGGCATTAAACATTTTCTTTTATTACTTTTTATGTAGGAACCTTTTTCAGACATGTAACCTAAGAAGTGGATTTCTGATAAGATGTATATTATAATCAAAGATTAGTACTAATTTGCAGCCAATCACTCAGTCAATCACTCAATCAATCAGTCAGGTAGATTAAAAGACAATAAATAGTCTTACTGCACTTTAATCTTAATCTCAAGGTAACAAGTGACAAACCAAACAATGACCTTCAAGTATCTCATCATTTTATGGTTACTTAAAACTAATATATATTTTGTTTTAGAGTCATGCTGAATAATTTACCATTTATAATACAATATATTATAGAAAAACTATTTGGACTGATTAAATTTTTTTTAAAAATCACTTAAAAGAAAATACAGTTCATTAACTATAGTTTTGATTCATTTTTCAAGTCATACAGTGAAAATGTCAGTTTTTGTCACCACTGCCCATCACTATAAAATTTGCCTTGATGTTATAATTGCTAGAAATAATAATTCATAAACAAATATCTATTAAGTGAATCAAGAATTATTTTGAGTTTGACTTTGTAGGTACTTCATGGCAGAAAAATAATGTTGTCTTTTTAATTTCTATGAAAATGTTTTTTTATTTATATAGTCATAAAGTAATGGGTAGATCTAATGATAACTAATTACTTTCAATGTAATGGGTAATGGTAATTAATTACATTGCTAAAAATGAAAAAGTAATTGTAATGATTAAAAAGTAATGGTAATGGTAATGTAATTAATTACATTGGCAGATCAACATAATGCTAAATGTATTGTTGGTCACTCACTGTATAGTTTTAAAGGAGCCACAGTGGCTAAATCAGTAAGACGCTGGCTCCCTAGTCTGGAGGTCGTGGGTTCGACCCTGGTGTTGGCCGAGAAAGTTAATCTGGACTTTACAGCGTAGTTTCCACTTGTCAGTGGTGCAAGACATTAATGCCAATAAGATGTGGAGCACAGGAAGTAGAAATGATAGCAGATCACTATTATATGCTAGAAATGTTGTTAGTCATTGGCCTTACAGTTTTAAATGCTTTTTATCTTTTTTATGAATTGAAATGAAATGGAATGGGGTTTAACGTACTACTGTTCTGCTCCGATTGGGCTAATGACGATGGGCATACGCCTTACAGCGTACTATGAGGGAAATTAATCAATGACGTCACACATATGAATTCAATGAAAATAATTCTGAGCACATTTTTTTGTTACTTTTTTTAAACACAATTTCGGTAATATATCCAATACTCATACAATTTAAATTAAAATCAATTTGGAAAAACAAAATTATTTAATATTTTTTGCATCACCTAGTTTATAAACTAGATCTAAATTGTGAACTGAAACTGAAGGTACTGTCTACAACAACAACAAAAACCAGGTTGCTCTACTCACTCAGGCAATGTCTGTATTACGCCTAGTGCAATTATAATTACTACTGATTAACGTTAAAAAAAAAAATGCAAGTACCTATTGTAAAGACAAAATAAATGTATTAAGTTACCAGTTACTGTATGATGTGTACAGGTAATACTTAATGAACGTAAATGCAATTTTTGTCTCGACCAACCAGCGTTTACCACGCCGGCAATGTCGTTGTATTTACTTTTTTACTTTAGTAATTTAGACTTGATAAGACCAAGGTTTCAAATATACATGGTGATATGAAAATACCACGTAGCTAATAAAATCATATCTGAGATTGAATAGGGCTTAGCTCTTTGCATTCATTACTAATGCTTTAAATAAGCAGAATATCGACTGTCTTTCCAAAGAAAAAAACTTACATCAATGCACATTGAATGGACATCGCCATTTTTCTATCAGTGATTAACAGCCGGGTTTTAGTTTCGTATTCACTAAAATTTTATAAAAGAAAATAATTCGAGTTATGCAGAATATAATGTTAATTTGTGAGAAATTATTTAATATGCTGTTGAATTAAAGTAAACCCTACATTTATTTACAATTTCGAGAGAAAATTGAGAAAATTTGCATTCATATCTTTTGTGGGAGTCATTTCGGCCTTTAATATCACCACGGGAAGTCGATTCGTAACAACGTTTGGAGACTTTTTTGTAAAAGGAAATGCTAACCATCAGAATAATTTCAGACGGAATAATAAGTTGATATTTGAATTAAACGCATTTTTTTATAAATGGCATAACAATAAATGATTTTGCAACAATAAAATCCGCAATAGCGAGAATACAGCAACAGGTGCTCTATTTTTTATAAAACGGTCTGGTAGATCGAGACGTTATTTGATACTGTAGAAATAAACGAATGTGTTTTAAAAGAACTGTGTTTGTTTATATTTTAATTTCACCATATTAGGAACCATAGTATTTCTTTACATGTAGTTGATATATGTTTAACATTTTTCACAAAAATTACACTGAATAGTTATATGTAACAAAATTTAAGTTACTTATTTCGTTTTATTCTAGAATCCTGCGATCCGAGAATTGAATATTGACATATATAAAAAATACTTACACAATTTGATAGTTTGTTTACGTCCGTCGTGAAGTTACTGTCAGTAAATACAAGCAGTAATGAATGAACTAATTAAATTCACATATTACATTGTTTAATTGCCGAATTATGTCGTGTGCTGGTTCAGAATCTGTCCATATATCCAGTGAGTATAATACTTCATTAATTCTGTATGTCCATAAATTATAAATTAAAAGCAATATTGGGTACAATTAAAATTAAGAAGATAAATATAGATCTTATCTACCCGATGATGTATTCCATTTTTGATTAACCATGCAATTATTGTTCCAGTCAGATAACCTGTGATGATTAATTCACAAAGAAATTTATAACTTGATTATATTGCCAACTGGTTATAAATAAATTAATAGGTATGATTTTCCGTGTATTGTAAACAAGACTTGTCATATATTTTGATATACATGTGTAATACACAATCGATCATTTAATTGTGTGATTGATTAAATTGTTAGTCTATGAGAGAGTGACATATCATATATTTATTTAAAGTGAATATATCCTTGTGGAAATAAATAAAACTGAAATGAATATTAACAGAACACAATTTTTATAATATAATATTAATTATAGCTGTGATAATTATCTTTTATTTTTTGTCTTTCTTGTGTTTTATTAATTATCTTACTTTTATTTTAATATTTTTTTATATTCTACACACTTGTCTATATGGTGATGTTTTAAGAATTTTAAATGTACAGTATGTGCCTTTGCTATTGTATGTTGTACCTTACCTGTTTATCCTTTTGTATTTATATTTTTCTATTTTCATATTTGCTTTTATATCTATATTGTAAAGCACACTGGAGCACATTACTGTGGAAGTGTCGGTATATAAATGCATAATAATAATATTAATAATAATCATTTTTATGGGAAACAATCACTGGTTTTATTATATAAGCTCAGCGTTCAACATTGTGCTTGATGGTGCTAAGAGGATATTTGTCAAAATGTTGTACTTATAATAAAACCAGAGATTATTTCCCCATAATAATTGTGTTCCACTAATGTGTTTCCTAATCACTAAATGCCACTTAGCCTGAATTTGTAAATACTAAATGCCACTTAGCCTGAATTTGTAAATACCATCTACAGTGACAGCAGGTCCCGAGTTCACAAAGCATTCTCAGACTTAAGTTGAGAATTTGCTCAACTTTCAATCACTGTTTATGAGAAATAGTTTGCACATAGTTTCTTATTGATATATCTGATACATTAAAACAACAAAATTATTATAAAGGGCTACATTTTAGTTAAAATAAGGCAAACAAGTTTGAGTAAATTCTCAACTTAAGTCTGAGAATGCTTTGTGAACATGGGGTCAGGTGTCAAATTTCTAAGCTTGTCAATGATGTCTGATTATTATCCAAACAATAATCAAAATAATGTGTTTGAGTTCTCAAGACTCAAGATGGCTATGTAGGTTCTTGAGAAGAAATCTGATAAAAAAATATCTTTTCAGATAATGTACAACGAATAAAAACTGGGTTTTTAAAAAGATACAACAGTAAGTTTGCTTTTAATCTTTAACAAAAAATATTTGCAAGTGACAGAACTGTTGAAGAGGACATTCTTTTTGACCATGGTCAGAGATCGAAAGAATGTTAATTTCAATTCAACATGAAGACTTTATTTATTACTACATTCATTTAAGATTAATTCGAATATGAAAAAAAATAAAAGATTTTTAATTTCTTGATTATTTTGTTTTTAACATGCAGAATAGTAAAGTAAAATATTATACACTATGAAGGCTATTTATATCTGGCATAAAGCCTTTCTCCCTATCGGGGTGGGGTGGAGTGTTGGTTATTTTGGATGGCTGAATGATTAGCACGTGTGCATTGCATCATAAGGGCTGTCATTGAGTCAACTGGCATAGTTTCGATTCCCCAGTTGTAGGTGACAAGGAGTAGAATCACCTGTCCAACCTCGTGGGTTTTCTCCGGTTTCCTCCCACTACTAAAAGACCCCGACGCGCAAGCAAATTATTGAAATAAAATTGAACCATATGTTAGTCCCGAAATGACCAAGTTTGTGTCGATTGGACATTAAACTCTCTCTCTCTCCTTTTGAATACTATCTAGTTAATATTTTGAATTAATGAGTTTACGATTCATATAGTCTATGCCATTATTTGTATGCTGTTTGAATATTCAGTTGATTTCAAATGATCAATTTTGGGATTAATTTTGAGAAATTGTGAATCTTTCAATATTTTCTTTGGGTCCTATAAGTATCTATTTATTATATTTGTTTTTAAATATTAGTGAATTGCATTAAATAAATATTTTCTTTGGGTCCTTTAAGTATCTATTTATTATATATGTTTTAAAAAAATATTAATGGATTGCATTGAATAAATATTTTAAATATTTGTTATTGGAGACTGATAAGATTCATTTAGTTTTAATTTACTGTTGTATAAACCTGTTTATTTAATTTTTTTAGATGGATTTTTTTCATCTGGTTGGAAACAAGAACATATAGTTTTATATCAGGATAGTACTTTAGCATGGTTTGAAAATCGAGCTAGCTTTGAACCAAAGGGTGGTGTCAATTTAAAGGTGCGTTACTTTAGATCCATTTCTTCAAAATAGATTAACTTTGTAAAACTTTAGATACATGTACATCCTTGAAAAATAGATAATCGAGCCTGTTTATTATTAAACATTCATAACTTAGCTCAGAATAATGCGGTTTGACTGCAATTTTCAATATGTTTATTTTCAATGTTTCATCATTTTTTTAAAACTATTATAGCAAGAATGGACAGCTCTTTATCTAAATCTTACATAATGCATCTTTAATTACCTGGTCAATGTTAAATAATATATTTGTGTACATTTTAAAAATGTGAAAAATCTGTACCAATGTCAACTTCTTTTTTTCTTCTTTTAAAATGACATTTCTATATCCTTTATGTTTTCAGAATGTATGTAAGTTCCTAGCAGTTGGTCGATTTAGTCAGAATGTGCCGAATAGGCCAGAATTGCCTAATGGTGGTCGAATAACTAACCTGATTGCCTTTCCAAAGGAGCCAAATAAAAAAGCAGAAGTTGTCTGGCTTCTTTGTGCCGATGAAGGTGAACTAAAGTAAGTCATGATTATTTTGTTAAAGACTTTCACAAAAGCTATTCTAATAATTTAGTTCTATGCTTTGAAACATTTTTGACCCTAATCGAGATCATATTTTGACTTATCAGGGTCCAATTTCATGTTATGAAGCAGGCCCACGTTTGTTAACTGATGATTTTTTTTATCCACTGCTTTCTATCCTGTATGTTTTCAGTTCATGGATGCAAGCTATCACTAGTACTGTAAGTAGCAACATACCTTTTGAAGATAAAATAAGATAATTTTATATTCTGTTCATATAATCATATAAAAGAAAAATCAATCATATCTCCAAGTATAAATTTGATCAAATATCTCACATCAAAATTACCAAATCATATGTAAACTCTAGCCATAATGTTAGATGTCATGCATGAGGTAGGATATGCTTATTATCTCTAATGTTGTCAGTAAACTCATCGCGTTTTCTTCTTGACTTTGGGGTTAATTTTCCACTTGAAACATTTAGTTTATATATTGTTGTGAATGGTCTTGGTATACTTTGACTTTTTGAATTGTGTTTTTGCTGGGCTGTTAGTGCTGCACTCTGTGTCCAATAGATTGAAACCTAATAATGAATACTGTTTTGCAACCACTGGGCTATAGACATACATATGCCATACAGTGTGCTATGAGGCAAATTCCCAAGACAGGGGCACTATGGCCCTACTCTTATTTCAAATTCCAATTGTAAAGGTTTTTTTACGTTGCACACCAATGTGTACACAGGACCTCACTTCTTCGTCCCATCCAAACAACCAGACACTGTCCTTGCCAGTGTGAAACGACGCTAAAAAATCCCTGGAAACTTTCTCAGCCAGAACCAGGGATTTCACTGAGTGGAAAACAATTGTATGCAAAAAATGTTTACTAGCATTGTCAAAAGGGAAGTATATCCTGCATCATGCATTAGACGTACCAATCTTTGAGATTCTATTGTCAAAAAGTTATATGAAAGATATTAACCAAATTATATTTCTCTTGTAGCTTCCACCACCACCCCGTCCTCCTCAACAAGGACCAGGTGCACCACCAGCTTATCCAGGACCTCCACAGGGTGGACCTCCACCACCAGGTTTTAATCCAGCAGTTACACACGGTAAAATTAAAAACTAATTTGAATCAAATAATTATAAGATTTTGATTTTTGATTATAGTACTAAATTTATGTTATCCTAACCCAAGAAAGAGAGAGAACTGGGGTTTAACGTCCACTTGACACAGACTAGATCATTTCGGGACTAACACCTGGTTTAATTTTATTTCAATAATTCGCTTTCGTTAGGGGTTTTAGCAGTGGGAGGAAACCGGAGGACCTAGAGAAAACCCACAAGGTTGGACAGACGACCCTACTCCTTGTCACGTACAACTGGGGAATCAAAACCACGCCAGTTGACTCAATGACAGGCCTTATGAGACAGCGTGCACATGCTAACCATTAGGCCATCCACCCCACCCCCCAAACCCAAGAAGATTTTACAACAGACATTCCTAAGAAGATTTTACTGATATTCTCAAGGTTTTATCCAGTCATGCTTTGCGGACATACATGTGTCATAACTTTCAGCTTTTTGAATTGTAAATTCATGTTTGCTTGTCTACACTATCTTCGGTCAGTTTTCACCAAATTATTTTCTTTCTGTTGGTGCATACAGTATTCAGCATGGCACATATTTTTCTAGCTGCCTGGATGATATCAATGTTGATTTAAAAGAGCTTACAGGTAGTGCTAGAATAGAATAAACCAGTGATTGTTTCCCACAAAAAAAATGTGTTCTATTAGGGCTAGAAAGTTTAATTTAGAAATGATTTGTTTTAATATTGCAATATAGGCCAGCCTCAATACCCTCCACAACAAGGACAGTATCCACCTCCACAACAAGGACAGTATCCACAACAACAACAAGGACAGTATCCACAACAACAACAGGTCAGATATCAAGGTCAACCACAAAGACAACAAGGAGCACCAGGTACTACTGTAGTAGTTCAGGGTGATAGGAGAAGCAGGCGATCTTCAGGCGATGGCTTCACAACAGGTAATATTATTTTAGTACACTGGTCTGATCAATGTAGGTTGAAAGAAAGACGTTGCGACCACCGATATTTCTTTGATGACATCGTTTGCCCAGTGATATTGTTTCGTTCCTACTTCACTAACCTCTGGGTCCATTCACGAGGAACACATAGTCAAATTTTCAGTCCTTAATAATTGCGCTATTTTTATCGAGCAATCAAAAAATTCCATAAATAGAAAGCCAGTGGGCGAAAGGGAAGTATCTCGCATTTTATTGAAACTAAGATCACCAAATCGTTATTGCAAACTTTTTCAAAATATTTAAGGCATTGTTTTGTGGTGCATGTTACTTGATATTAAATTTCATGCAAACCTTCTCATACTTGAGCGTACAAGTTGCTGTATTGTAGTGAACGTAAACAAGGATGCTAAGACTGGTATGTAAACTGGTTCATAGAATCAATCTACATGATTCGACAGATAATTTGAATTCCCGAAAACCCTGCGAAAGGACCCAAGGGCTAGTGCAGTAGAACAGAACAATACCACTGGGGATACAGAGGATGGGTTTGCCTATGATTAATTGTTTCTTTATTAATTTTTATTTATTATTTATCCATTTGGTTTAGAATCAAATGGGAAGGTTCGGTGAATAAGGTTCTGGACCGCTAACTTGGAGGTCTGGTGTTTGACCCCAGTGTTGGCAAAGAAGTTACTTTTTTGTCAGAAAAATTTCCTGCATGGCTTATGTCCTTCTTCATTAGCCCAGTTGGTGCAGAAGTGTAGGATAGTAAACGCCATTTCATTTTATTTCAATTAAAAGAACCAACTTTTTATAATTTTCAGGACTGCTGGTTGGAGGTGCCTTAGGATATGGGATGGGTCGTCCAATGGGCTGGGGATATGGGGGATACGGCTATGGTGGATGGGGTGGAGGATATGGTGGCTGGGGAGGGGGATACCATGATCATGGGGATAACGTCACTGTTAATAACTATAGTAATACGGAAAATACAAACATTGAAAACAATGAATATAATGAATCAAATGTAGAAAATAATTATGGTGATGGGGGTGGATATGGGGATGGAGGAGGGTATGGGGATGGTGGGGGATATGGAGATGGTGGGGGATATGGAGACAGTGGGGGGTATGGAGATGGTGGTTATGACTATGGGGGAGATAATGGAGGATATGATGGTGGATACGATGGTGGATATGATGATGGTGGCTACGATGATGGCGGCTACGATGATGGTGGGGGTTTCGACGGAGGAGATTTTGTTGGCGGAGACTGTGGTGATTAAGGATTCAATCAAAATCTTTTTTAAAGTACATACCATTCCACACACTCACATATATTTAAATACAGTAGAATCTGCATTAAGCAGCCACCCAAGGGAATTTTCACGACTGACCGCTTAATGGGAGTGGCCTCTTAATAAAATCTTGGTGCTTTTTGTGCTGAAATAAATTAAATATTACGCTTGGATGCATTGGAAGCGAACATCAATACTTGCATCGGTAAATTTGACCGTCGCTGAATCTTGCGCCGAACGAAAATTCTTTACTCAAGTCTCGGACATAACTTCTGTAAACTTGTCATTTTGTACCAACCTTCGATACTACTGTCTACCATTGTGATGCATTTTGTGAAGAAAATCGATGAATTAATTTTATTTTATCAAAAAAAGCACATGGAACAAAAAACCATCGCTGATTTTATCACCTATTTACAGGGGGTGTAATACTCTGTATGTAATATTATAGGAGGCGCTAAAATGTCTGTTTAACAACAAAGTGGCAATGGAAAAGAGATACTAGATGATCGTGACAAACTCGGTACTTTTATTTTATTCAATCAGTATCAAATAATGTGTTGTTACGCGTGAAATCAATGATCAGGTTAGTCGTATAATAATACAAAAGATTAATTAACAGATAATCCCGGGTTGATTGTTATTTTTACATTTCTTTTTACCTGATCAGTGGGGGTCCAGTTAATTAACTACTACTCACGGGATTAGCAGGGGTGTTACAAAGAACGACAAGATGGTATCATTCAACGATGGCCGTTGAATGGGCGATGTTTTGTTGAATTTATTAGTAAAATAGTGACCGCTGGCCGCGTTAGAGGAGTGACTGTTGAATAAAGAGATGAAACAATAGAATTTTTACAGGGGGAATTTATCGTGACCGCTTACAAGGAGATGTCGCTGAATAGGAGTGGCTGCTCATACAGATTCTACTGTACACAATAAAGCTAAGCAGAAGACACTAATTTTGATTAAATTAGTAAAAAAATAATTAGCATAGTATTGAAATAAGATCACCCCTTGGATTTCTGCTTACAAAGTCCTGCGTACATAAAACAGAAGACGCTTACGCCAAAGCAACTTAATGTTTGGCTCTTAAGGGTCTTGATTAATAAACAACCACACAAGCCCTGAGAATATGTTTTGTTTGAGATTTCAAAACTTAAAATTTGAAACTGAAAGCTTTTGAGAAGAACATTTTTTTTTTTTTTTTTTTTAAATTATTTCCCTCCCCCCCAACAAGTTGGAAGCAAAACTTTAATAAGTGTTCCCCTCAAAAAAACCAAAAAATTAAATTGTTGTTACCTTAAAAATAATCTTGAACATTTTGTATGTAATTAAAACTAAATCCCCGAACAGTTGAAAGCTCAATGAACAATTTTCAATCAGAAGACTCAAAACCTTTTCCCATGAATTATCAAAATATTTAACAACTTTGAGATCTATCTAGGCTAACACCAAACCCTTAAGGGTTAGTTGTATGGTAAACATACCTAATAAAAATTACAAACTGGTGTATAAAAAAGCTGCATATTTTGGCAGAAATGACATACCATAAAATTGAATCTAAATCTGTTTTGTGTTTAAAAAAACTGACTGTGTTCGGGGCTTTATTTGCATGCTTTACACTATGTATTGAAATTATAATTTATTTTTGTCCCTGGTCTTTCGAAGAAAACAATGGCTTATAAACTGTGTTCGTTCATCTGATTAGGCTTAGTTTGATTGCTCCAAAAGATATATGTGCAATTAATTAATTAATATGTGTCATCTATTTATTTTTGGATTGAGGTGGGGGACATTAGTCTCAGTGTTGACTTATTTATGCTAAATATGTGATATTTTTCATTGTTTTGTAAAGTTTTAAAATTTTAACCATTATTAATATGGATCTTGTTTTGTATCCTAATTGTTAAATAATACTAACCCATCTTTTTATCCTGCTGTTTATATTTGTGATGTTTTGTGTTTTTTTCTATGTAATCTATTATAAAATGCTGTTTGATCTCAGGGTTTTAAATTAAAGCTGATGTAGATATCTATCAATTTGATAATCAAACTATATTTTTAGATACAGTAACATTAGATTCTTTTCTTTACATATATTCTGTATATTATAGCCGCTGATCACCATTTGCATTATTCGAACAATTTCAAATTTTTCACGACTTAATTCAATTGTGTGAAATAGTTTTATTTAACGTCAACTTCCACCGAAGTGATATCACCGACAATTAATTCACAGTGAAAGGTACTTAAATATAAAACAAAGCTAAAATGTCAACGATAGATAATCACCTGGGTTGGAGTCAATCATGGATTGAAATAACAGTCATAAAATATTTTACTCAACTCTCACAGATTGCACTGGCTTGTTTATATTAACTGGCGATTGTTGCAAAATATTCAGTTGGTCATATCTGTGTTAATACTGAACAGAATCAGAGCATTTTAGGACTGATATCCCTTCTAGAGATTCACAATGTTGTGGCTTAATATTTTGTCAATCATAATTGCTTTATTTTCAGTGTTAAATTTACCTATTTATATAAATTAACTGCTCAATCTCTTATTTTAAAAGAAGATACAGTTTTCATTATTTACCACTAGTCATATTAAGAACAAAACTTTGTCTGCTAGTAGAGCTAGAAGTTATAATATGTGTTTCCGTCCTTTTCATGAAGAATATGGTATAGTAAATTGTTATACAAATTAAAACTTTTGTGGGTTTTTTTTATAACACCCACAATGTAATGCCTTATATTGGTTTTACTTCTGTCTGTCAGTACACATTTGTCTCGATGCTGCTTTGTGCACGGTTGATCTCCAAGATTTGATTATTGTTTTCATTAGTGAAACGAAAAATCCTAATGGATGCTCGATTGTCAGTCCAGAGCTTTCCAAAATGATGCCGTATGCTTTGTCACCCAATATTCTCATATTGACTCAACCAAGTTTTTCAAGGGATGGAGAGATTTTAATTCTGTAACGTGGAGAGAGAGAGAGAGAGATTTGGTTTAACGTCCACTCGACACAAACTAGGTCATTTTGGGACTAACATATGGTTTGATTTTATTTCAATAATTCGCTTGCGCGTAGGGGCCTTTAGCAGTGGGAGGAAACCGGAGGACCTGGAGAAAACCTACGAGATTGGACAGACGACCCTACTCCTTGTCACGTACAACTGGGGATTCGAAACCACGCCAGTTGACTCAATGACAGGCTGTATGATACAGCACGCACATGCTAACCATTCGGCCATCCAACCCCCCTATCAAGTATTTAATGCTACAATATCTGATAATTACTTGCAGAGTAAGGTCCCTTGCATTTATGCCCCCCTCTTCCTAAATGCAGGAGATATTAGAAGATACAAACAGCAAAGAGAGAAATAATTATTTTTTTATGTCACATTTGATCATACAGCTTATTACATTCTATAGAAAGAGTATTTTTATAAACTTCATAATGATGATTTAATCCTTTTTGTGTATGTATTTTATAAAAACTTCCTAAAGCACCTTCTTTATGACTTGAACCATAAAATACACGATTTATTCTGGAATGAACCAATGCCATGGCACACCTGCAACAAAAGGAAAAATCTCAAACTTATTCATATTTAATAAATCCTTTAGTTCATTATGCAACTAATTTAAACCTGCTATTATCTGTTTGGCCTGCATCTTTTTGTAATAATGTCGATTGAATACAACAACTACATTGGTTTATTGTCACATATTTTTGCCCTTCTTTGCATCTTTAAAACATAATTATATCCAAAATGTTCTCTACATGCGGAGCAATGGTGGATGACAATGCTTGACTTAACAATAATCTGAAGAAATACAAGGGCTATACTATATACCGGAAAACACCGGAAAACAACCGGAAAACACCATGTTATACTGAATACCGGAAAAACACTAAATCCCGGAAAACACACTAAATACCGGAAAATGCCCTAAATAGGTAACCCAGTCCTCTGGAAAACACTGGAAAAACCTAACCCTAACCCTAGCCTGGTCCTCTGGAAAACACCGGAAAAACCTAACCCTAACCAGGCTCTGGGTTACCTACTTAGGGTGTTTTCCGGTATTTAGTGTTTTTCCGGTGTTTTCCGGTATTCAGTATAACATGGTGTTTTCCACGGCAATACTATATACCGGGAAACACCGGAAAACAACCGGAAAACACTATTTTATACTGAATACCGGAAAACCACTAAATACTGGAAAACACACTAAATACCGGAAAATACCCTAAATAGGTAACCCGGAGACTGGCACCCTAAATAGGTAACCTGGAGCCTGGTCCTCTGTGTGCCTGGGTTAGGGTTAGGGTTAGTTTCCGGTTTATAGTATAGCCCTTCTCCGGGTTACCTATTTAGGGTGGTTTCCGGTATTTAGTATGTTTTTCAGTATTTAGTGTTTTTCCGGTGTTTTCCGGTATTCAGTATAACATGGTGTTTTCCGGTAGTTTTCCGGTGTTTTTCGCTATATAGTATAACCCTGGTTTCCAGTAGTTTTCCAGTGTTTTCTGGTATATAGTACTACCGAAATAAAAGAATTATACTTACATACTACATGGTTCCTGAGTAACATATAAATCATAACCCGTACAAAGATATGGTCCAGTTTTATTTTCGGTTGATATAGCTGTATTAATATCTTGGTTATAAAATAAATCATTATCTGTAAAATAAAAACAAAAATCAACCTTAATAGCCCATCAGAATATGAATACCTACCCACATTTGACTAGATTTGGTTGAAAACCATGAAGCAGTTGAAAATATATAAACTAACTCCATCAACTTCATGTGATCAAATCTGCAAGCTAAACAATATTTATGCCAATTTTGATAAAAAAAATCCATCAAGCACTTAAAGAAGTCAAAATTGTTCAAATTTATCCCTCTGTAATGCCCCTGTCCTGCACTGCCCTAATGGTGCCCAGTCCCCTCAATTTAACAAACTTTTAACTTTATCATGTATGGATGATAATTATTATTCCAACCAAATCCATTCTAAAGAAGAAGTTATTTTAAGATTACTTAAATTTGACATTTAAAGGTCACCTGTCCAGTGCCTGTGGGCTAAAAAAAAAAACACTCCTACCAAAGGGCACATTTATTAATTACAATTAAAAGCTGCAAGAACATTACACAGTGCCAAACGTTAACAGCACCCTAGACATTCTAAGTCTGCCATTAAGATGCTTGAAACATAAATATCTAGGGAAATTCATTGGCCTGGCTGTTAGAGAAAAGTGGTCTATCGATGAATCCCATTTCATTTTATTGCTTTTCGATCATTGAAACTAACCTGATAATTTCCACATGCCACCACCCTGAGATCTAGCTACTAAATCTATACAGATCATTACCGCATGTTGTAATGGATGATCTTGTCTACGTAGATCATGTGATGCTGATATAATTGTATCATTGGTTGGATCCACTATTACAGCTCCTATTGGTTCCTGTATAATGAAAGATTGTAATTTAAAAATCCAAGTATTAATTATTACAGATTCATTTGCCTCTGCTATTTAAAACATTCGACAGATACATTTTACTTTAGATCTTAGGGAGCCACGGTGGCTAAGTGACTAAGACACTGGCTCGCTAGTCTGGAAGTCGCGGGTCCACTCCTGGTGTTGGCCAAGAAAGTTCATCAGGATTTTTCGGCTTGGTTTCCCCTTGTCAGTGGTGCAGAACGGAGGGCCTGGCAAGGGACAATGTATAATCGTTTGGATGGGACGGAAAACTGAGTTCCCATGTACACATTGAAGTGGATGTAAAACTCTTGACAGTTGGAATTCGATATAAGAGTAGGCGGTAGCACCGCTGGCTGGGCAAAATTTCCCTCATAGTACACTGCACAGCATATGCACATCTTCATTAGCAGAACAGTAGGAAGTTAAACCCCATTTCATTTCATTTCACATGTAGCTTAGATGGCTAACATTTAATTTTACTTATTACGGACACCTGGACTGGAATCCAAAATTTATTTTGAAAGATTTTATTTTTTTGCCGAATTCAATCATGAACCAGAAAAATTTCAGCATTTTTGTCAAGGAAATTTCATATTTGTGGGTTGAATTACTAATTTACCTGTTTTTTTTGTTGAGATATTTGTGCCAGTTCAACAGCCTTCAGCATATGTTTCTTTATTTTTTCTATCTCTATATCCTTAAAATATTTTCCAGATAATAAGTTATTAATACTGTAAAAAAATTAAAGGGCAAAATTAGTTATGTCTCTGGTTGTCATTTGAGGGATTTTGAACCCCTTGTAAACTATAATATTGAGAAAGCTGAACCTCTAAAGGAAATCCAGTCCATAAATGGTTCAGATATGATGAAATGAAAATATGTCAACATTCAGCATCTTCTGAATGTATACTCCTACGATATTTAAGTAACATAGCAGATGATCTTTCCATTAGTTAAACATTCTCTTAAGAAGAATATGTTACTTAATTCACAGACCAAAACATTCACCCTTGGTATTCTACCGAAACTACCGGTTAGGTCAAATTATAGAAACTTTAATAGACTTACTGTTTATCTTCATGAAATGTACATGGCCAGTTTAATGATGCCTCTTGATATTGTTTCCTCGTTAATGGTTGAGTAACTGGTACTTTAACTAAAAATGGCTTCCCTAAATATTGCAATATACTGGAATCTTCACCAATGATGGCTTCTAGTGTAACCTCATTGTTACAGACTACATCATCTTTAGGACATAGCAGAACCTGAAGACTGTCACCTACAACACAAACACATAAAATCCTATATAAAGTGAAATAAAATGGGTTTCTTCACCAAACGACTAGACACTGTCTTTTCCAGGCTCTCCATCCTGCACCACTGTTTTTGCCAGGCTCTCCCATCCTGGATCACTGACATGTTGAAACCATGCTTAAAAATCACAAGGAACTTCCTCAACTAACACCGAGATCAAATCCCAGAATCCCTGGTTACTCAGCAAGGATTAGATAAATGTTGAGGTGAGAAAAATTCAAAAGACAGAAAAGTGGAGCATGAAATGGTATCATGAAACATGAAACGACACATGGCAAGACAAAAATTCTAACATCCCTGATATCACCTACTTTACCCTCTCTGTCCCTGTTATTATTGTCCCTGGCTTTTTGAAGAAAGCGGGGGGATGGGGCGATTAAAGTCTGTCCATCTGTCTGTCTGTGACAGATTTTGGAACACAATAACTCTGCTTCTAATTGAGCTAAATTTTCAAACATGGTGACTGGATTCGTTGATGAGCATTTTATGCTTAGACTAAGCATAGTGTGATATCAGGAATGTCAGAACGAGAAGAAATATAATGAAATGGGGTTTAAAGTCTTATTTTATTGTACCAACTTGGCTAATTAAGGCAGTTATATGCCTTTCAGTGTACTACAGGGAAATTTTTCCCAGACAGTGCCTTTTCTGCCTGATTTTTCAGATCATCTAAATAACCAGATGAGAAGAACAATGATAGGGTGAGATAAGAAAGACAGGATAATGATAACACAGATCGGATGAGAGTATTAATAATAGGATGATACAAGATGTCTGATTAATGCATAGAAATGAAATGGGCTTTAACATCCTACTGTTCTGAACTGATTAGGCTAATGAAGACAGGTGATTAATGCATTGACTGGAAGAATAGTTGTTATATTAAACTGGATCGTTGCGTTAAAATGAAAATTATTGTTTATCTACCTTTACTATTTGTACTTTTAACTCTCTTCAGATAATTGAATTCTTTATTAGGCATACTCTCTGTCAATTCCCTGAAATTATAAAACTTACTTATATCATAGTGTTCAAATTCATTACATATAAATCAAAGGAACTAAATCTCATGGTAAGATAATCAATTTTGATCCGAATGGACCACTAATTTGTGTCTTTAATTTTGAAGACTGTGGATAATATTCAGACAGATCTTTAAATAAATAATGAAAGAAAAGAATAAATAAATAAATCACCTGATGACTTTTGTGGTATTTTTCTTGTCTTTAATGATGCTTACATAAAAATCACCTGAAATAGTTTCAAACATCATTTTAATGGGAAATCTAGATATCTTGCCTTGTAACTGAATCTGATATCAAGTACTGTTCATGGGTTTGTACATAGTTCTCCACCAACAGGGCTAATAAAAGGATCATATACACCATGTAGTGTACTAAGTCTTTCTCTTATTTCAAATTCCAACTGGCATAGGGTCTTTTACTTGCACGCCAACATTTAAGCGGGCCTGCGTTTTACTGTACCATCCGAATGACAAGATGCTGTTTCTTGCCAGAAGCTCCATCATGCATCACTTGAAAATCGAGAGGAACTCAACAGGATCAAACGCATAACCTTCTAGTTAGCGAGCCACTGCATTGCTCACAGAGCCACCATGCTTAGTTGGAAAAAGTATGGTTAGAAAAGTAGTTTTGAATATTGTGGAGAGAGTCTATTTTCTGACCAGTTGCGAAGGTAAAAAATTCCCACAAGCTGGGTTAGCCACCGTAAGGGTTTGTGTTAGGGTTAACGTTATTGATTGGTAACCATAACACAGAATTCCCAACCGATGAATTAGAAATGTGTTATGCAACCGGCCTGATCCCCTTTCCAATCGGCATGAAAATTGACAACATGAAGAATCTTTGGCATCTAGTTCTGTTTCTGGCTATATTACTTACTCCCTGTATACTAAGATAAAGATAATTATCAAAATTCTACCCACCTAACTGTACAATTTGGTAATATCTGTCATCTAAAATAGGTTCTGGTTGATCCATTATAATCATAAAGCTTCTCATTCATATGATGTAAACATAAAATTTATATAACCTACAATAAGAAAGGGATATGGCTAGACTTCATACTCTGTGCACCACTCACATTACCCATAGCACATGCAATGAATAAAGGATTAAGTTCAGACAAGTACATCATTGTAGAAGAAATCAAGTATAAGTGTAATATGGATCACGAACTGAGCAGGACGTCATCACTGCCACCTTGAAATATGACGTCGCATCAATCGATGTGCAGTTGTCCAAAGTAACAATCATGCGAAATTTCATCTCAATTTTACTTGAATTGGTGGAGCCTCAGGCATTCCAAGTACGACAGGTTGAGTTGGGCATGGGGTCCCAATTCCTGGTTCAAACATGAAATTCCGCTGAGATAGCCATCTCATTTTATATAGAATGAGATCTTGTCCCACTAAATACATAGCATTGTCTGCAATAGAGCTATTGGTGAAATACAAACTTGGGTCTTAAACTGAATGTTGACAGCGATGAATGCATGTGCATTATAAAACCACATGCCAGTCATACAGTTCCTCCACTTAACTATTGTCATTAACACTAACATTTGACAATATGACAATGTTAACATCCAGGTTGTATATAATATATAGTTCCATTGCATCACATCTCTTGTGACAAATCTACAACTCGTTTAATAATCTGTACATAAGAGCTGAGTTTGTTTAATTTGTACAATGTCATACTGGGCTTTCTTGCCTAACTTATGAGACACCAATTTAATCTAGTTCTTTGGGGTCTTGATAAGTAATAACCACTCAGTGTTTAAGATTTCAAAACTTAAAAATTGAAAGCTTTGGGGAAAAGCAACCAAGAATTGCTTATCTTTCAAAAAATTATTTCCCCTGATGAACAAAAATTCAAATTGGTGTTGTGTTATTCTTGCAAAGATATCCTGCACACGTTAATCTTATATCATGGTGAACATCTAATTCGGTATACTAAGCAAGTAAGCAGAAGCATTTTAACTGCATTTATATTTAAATCATATTTTATTAGCATTTTTATATTTTTATTCATATATAATATTTATGTGGTACATTTCACATATTTAACAATCCAGTAATGATAACCGTAACAATTAATAGTCAAAAATATAATATCTTAATTAAAAACTGTCCACGTTTTGCCATTATTCTAATGCTGACACAGCAATCAAAAATTAATGTTTATAATGTATTAATTTCTTACATTAGAACCCTGCATCTAGATTGGGAGAAAATGTCTAAATGTTACATTTTAAAAGTTTTAATAAGCTAAGCAACTTTCTCTGAACACATTCTTGAATAACTTGTAGAAAAATTTCAAAGGATACATGTATGTAAAAAAAGTCTAAATGTTACCATTTAATAAGCTAAGCAACTTTCTTTATCATACCGAGTATTCATAATTGATTTGTAGAAAAATTTCAAGGGATACATGTATGTAGAAAAGGTTGAATCTGATCAACTTATTTTCCTGCTTGAAGTGATAATGCTTACAGACTAGATGTAAAAGCTGTCATGTATGACATTTTCCAGATATTCTGTTGCTCCAGGGCCCTTGAAAATGCGCCTATTCTTATATCGAACCGGACCTCATTTTTTTTGTCCCATACGAATGACTATACATTGTCTCTTGCTAGGCCTTCCGTCCTGTACCACTGACAATGAGGAACCATGCCAGAAAATCCGAATGAACTTTCTCCGCCAACACTGAGATTAAACATGTGACCTCCAGGTTAGCAAGCCAACATGTTACTGAGCCACTGTGGCTGCCTCAATAAATAACCTAATTATGAGAACCAAAGCGCATAACAAAATTTATTTTTTTTAAACAAACATGTTAATAGATTTACTGATTTTGTTTAGACAGTTTTGGTGCCAATCTTGTGCAGAACATGATGTGTACTGTAGTATTGATGCTAATTTCATAATTTACTACTTGGGTCTGAAGAGGTTCATATCACAAAAGTCAAATTTTCAAATACGATTTTTTTCCCCCAAAATATACAGTACATGTGGGTCTATTATGAATTTGTGGTCAACAAGAAAAAAAAAAAAATATATATTATGAAATCCATAGAATTTAGTTTGAATTTGCAGGCTTTTTTCTACGGAAATAATTTGGTGCTGCTGCATATAACCAATCTGGATCTACCAAACAAAGATCTCTCATATAACATTTAGATGTTTGCACAAGCTCATTATATATCACATAGGCTGGTTTACACCGGAATAAAGCTGATGAAGGGTGAATAGAAACCGGTTTTCTTGTTGAAAGCGTTATAAATTCACCCGTAGCTTGTAGCTCTGCTGCATTCATAAAATAACCAATAGTCATACACTTTCTTATACAAGTCATATCTTGACCACAAGATTTTAACGGAAGTTCTAATCTCTGACATATTTCCCTTAATTGTCTGCGTACATCCATGGCTGTTTTCATGTTACGATTATTAATAAAATTTTCTTGACACCATTGTTTGTTGCCACTAACGCCTTTAAAAGATTTGTAAATATTAAGTAGGGTTATATGATCACCGTCACTCGACATAAACTTTTGTTGCGCGGCCATAGCCTCTGCGCGCTTACGGGCTGGGTTTACTAATATACTTTCAACAGATAACAAGGACACAACGCTTAATACTTCTTCTAAACAATCATAGTCTTTAGCTGCTAAAATAGTTTTCGACATTCTCGGGTCGAGAGGAAAAGCCGCCATTTGTTTACCTAATGGAGTTAATTGAATATTGTCTGCCTTTTCAACAGCACCTAGTAAATGTAGCTGATCCAAGGCACTCACAATAGACTCTGTGTCTGGTTTATCCATGAAATCAAAATTAATAATGTCAGATATTCCAAGGGCAAGTAACTGTAACATAACGCTTGCTAAATTACATCTGAGTATCTCAGGCACAGTACTAGTTTGTAAAGATTCATATTCAGATTCTGTATAAAGTCTGTAACATGTGCCTGGAGATTCACGACCAGCTCGCCCTGTTCTCTGCAATGCTTGTGCTTTGGATACCCGGACAACTTTAAGAATATCCAATCCACTATTTGGGTTATATACTTTAGCTTTGACCATACCACAGTCAATGACATATCTAATACCATGTATGGTTACTGAGGTCTCTGCTATATTGGTTGATACAATAACTTTACGCGCTCCTTTAGGTGTTGGTTGAAAGACTCGTAATTGAGCTTGTGAAGGTAATGCTGCATATAATGGACAGACAATGAGTGTAAGATCTTCTTGTTCTTTGTCTCTGGAGATTTCTTTAATAGACTGGACTGCTGATTCTATTTCTTCTTGACCAGTAAGAAACAAGAGAATATCATGACCCTTTGGTGCTTCTTTGTGTATTTTAAATAATGTGACGAGTGAAGCGAACAGGTAATCAGACTGGGGATTACAGGCATAATACACCTGTATTGGAAATTGTCTTCCTTCTAAATATAATACTGGGGAGTTATTAAAATATCTTGAAAAATGATCAACATCCATGGTAGCTGACATAACAATTATCTTAAGTGGTGGGATTCCTTTTTTTCTTCTATCTTTCTGGCAGTCTTTGACAACACCAAATAAAACATCTGTATGTATCGTCCTTTCATGAGCTTCGTCTAATATAACAACTGAGTATCTCTTTAATTGTGGATCTAAGATGGCCTCCCGTAATAACATTCCGTCTGTCATGTACTTTATTTTGGTGGCTTCTGATGTCATATCTTCAAATCTTACACAGTATCCAACCAATCTTCCTACAGCAGTCTTTTTCTCTTCTGCGACACGCTGAGATACGGTTATGGCAGCTACTCGACGGGGCTGGGTTATAGCGATGGTTTTTCCTCTATGCATTCCTGATTCTAATAAAAATTGGGGTATTTGAGTTGTCTTTCCGCTTCCAGTCTCACCAATAACTATGACAGTATCTAATTTCTGTATTTCTTGTAATAGTCTCTTTCTAGCAGAATATATGGGCAATTGTAATCTCTCTATTTGTAGCTTCTGATAATTTTCTTTATTTTGTATCGATCCTAACCCATTTCCTTGATGGCTTGGACCCATGATTCTCTGTTTCTTGGCAGGAGAAGCTTCTGCTAGCATTGCTATCTACATGTATTCTGTAACTATTTTAATATTTACTTTATATTTTTAAAGTTTCAAATACACTGTAAATCAAATGTTATCATCTTACTTAGATTTCCCTCTAAAAACGTACTTAAAATATAAAACATGTGGGTGTCCATGTGCTTTCAGGTTGTTGTGTTGACAAATCGCGACTATAGGATTCGGTTGTACTTGATTCAGCAATTTTCGGTGCTGATCAAACATATGACTATCCCATTTCGTCCATAACACGTAAATGTACCTGCATCGGGTACTATAAGTATAAAACTCACCGTTTCTTTTCTTTTTTGGGGGGGGGGGGGGAAATATCTAAACTTACCTTTTTTTTTTTAGACCGTTACCACAATAAAACATCAAAATTATCATGTTATCTTTTCATAGTTACCTAATGCAGGATTATTGTTATTATGTTTGAATTATGTTTTAATGTTAATACAACATTTTGTATTTATTTTACATAACATTTTAAGAATTGAGTAATGATACATAACACAATGAGTGGGATATCAGATCATATTTATTACGGGATTAACGTTTTAATCATTTTTATTTTTATTTTTATCTTCTTATGGTTTATATCATTGCGCTTTTGTTGCAAAACGTCTTCTTAATATCAATGAAGTCAACTTGTCAGATGAATCAAGTTCGTTACGTCTACTTCCTCCTTCTAGGTGGCGATGCGTGCGTATGGCGCTTGATATTTTTAATTCCAGCAGTGTCAGCCTTTTCGAAATATAGTTTTTTTTATTCTCAGAACTTCAACAAATTTATATAATAATATGGTAAATGATAATATCATAACCAACACGTTTGCTAGAAATACTTGTCATTCGTTTGACACCTTTGGCCTTGCAAAAACTTATCATTCTCCTAGTCTAGTAAATAAAATATGTCCTCTGCACTGCAGACGTGACACAAACAAGTCACAACCTAATATGACTCGATTGAAACATTTGCAAATGCGCGTTTATTAAAACTCGCCCCCCCCCCCCGCCTTAGTAACAAGTTAATTTCTGCATACACGCCCTCAATGATGCCCTTCAATATCACATTGAACTCGCAGTGATGTTTATGTTAATAGATTTTACTTGTTGTTCCCTACTACTAGTAAACTACTACGCTAGTTTCTTTCGGAACTATTACTATATTAGACGTTCTGCACATGCACACAGAGATCCATCTATTTCATACACTTCGAGAATAGATCTCTGCCCTAAATGACTGCCATATCTAAAAATTACTATACTGGTTGTGTTTTGCGGTTCTACTCTGTTTGACATCTGTCATTCACACAAAGACTAAATAAACTTTTTCAATTTTATTAAATGGAAGCAGAATAAATACTTAACAAAATTTTTGAATTATACTTTGGGAGTTTGACTAAAATGGTTGATTTAGGACTTAAAATGTCGCTATACTAGCTTAGTGTCTGTTCTCAAGCGAAGCTAACTGTAGACAGACAGTCTACGTTTAGTAATAGTATGTACATCAGACATCCTTTGTCGATATTTAGTTGTAGGCATGGAATAGAATTTGTATTACATTGAAACGTCCTTTGAGGACAGCATACAATATACAATCTATTAAATACAAATACATAAAATATAGATGCAAGACCTAACATAATTTTCAGACGCCAGTATGCTGATAATTAAATTTTTTCTTGTAAACAGAGCTAAATCGTAAGTGCATACCAAATATGGAAAACATGAAAGTGGAATGGAATACACCATAGGATTCTAGTACTTAAAACCACTTCGGCCATATATCTTTATGAAATTGAATGATATGCTTTGCTTAGCTCATTGAAAAGAGGGGGATTGGATGGTCATTCACCAGAAAAGTTTACCCACCACTGCACTAGGGGCTACATTTGTATTTGGTCTTCTGCCAGGAAGTGGTTTTAAAGATTAGAGGCATAGAAACTATTACAGTATAACAAGTAATAAACTATAATAACACCTACTTATGGAAGAACAATTACTGATTTATTTTGGCAATGTTTCGAAGAGTATTCTCCCAATGTTTTCAAGCAAGAATACTCATTGAAACATCGCCTAAATAAATTAGAAATTGTTCTTCCATAAGTATGTGTTATAGTTTATTGCTCTATTCAGTTACTAAATGCCTCTAAATAATTAGTATAACAAGTGTTTTTTTTTTTAAATTTCAGTATGAGATATCTTGTTCTAGTATTCATCATTAATTTGGAGATGTTCCAAGATCATTGATCAGCTTTACAGAAACTGCCATAGATAGAAACAGAATGGAAAAATTTACTTACCAAAATAGAACTATGGGTTTTAAAGAGAGACATGCAGTTAAACTACAAGATCTACTCTACCAACAGATGCAAGAGGACTCAGAGTTTTGTGATGTGACACTTCTTATCGGTGATGTTGTACGTTTACTTTTGACTTTTAAGAAACATTAATATTTGAAGTACAGTATTAAGAAATGAACAGGATTGTGTTGTCTGTCTGTCTTGAATTTAAAAGGGGTGGGTTGAGACAATCTCTCTGTGGATTAATTGAACACGACATTGATTCTAATTCATTCTGAATCTCATCTGTCAATGAAATATTGTTTCATGTTTGATTTGTAAAAAGTTGCACTGGTATTTATTCGAAATATGATTATAAGTTATTTGTTTTGCAGAAAGTGAAAGCTCACTGGTGTGTATTGGTAGGATGTCCATTTTTTCAGTCTTTGCATGATTCTGGAATGAAAGAATCATTTGAAGGTATTTATAGTGACTGACTTTATAATTAATTAAATTTGGATAGAGTAATGTATATTTTTTGAAAATTGCCTTGATTTGATTTAAAATTATCTTTGATCCCTGTGTTGGCCCGAGAAAGTTCATCAGAGATTTCCGGCATGTTTCCCCCTTGTCAGAGTGGTGTAAAATGGAGGGCCTGGAAAGGTTCAACGTATATCTGGATGGGACGAAAAACCGAGAGCCTGTGTACACATTTGTGTGCACATAAAAGAAAACTTTAAAATTTCATTCATAGCACACCTTATGGCATATTCCCGTCTTCATTAGCCCAGTCATGTAGAACATAGAACAATAGGACGTTAATCCCCATTTCGTTTATTATGAAAATGTAATATAGAAATTTATCTTTCTTTCATTAGGTAGTATCAGATTAAGTTATGGAGAACCCTGGGCCATGAAAGAAGCCTTAAAATTTCTGTATATAGGAACAGTACAAGTAGATTTCAATCATGTAAAGGAATTGTTAGAAGCTGCTGAATATCTTCAAATTACTGACATGAAAAAATGTTGTAATGATTATCTTCATTTGATAGACATCACAGATACAAACTGCGTCCAGTTAGCGTTATTGTCCAGTCTTTATGATCTAGACTTGTATAATAAAGCCTTCCAGTATCTCCGAGGACATCTACCATCTGTATTAGAAGGGGAGGATGCCCTTACGCTGACTAAAGAATCAGTTCTATCACTGCTAACAGATGAAACACTGACATACGTGCCCCAAGAAAATTTCTTCATCTTTATCAATAAATGGGTAAATCAAGAATTAGAAGAACGACAACAACATTATAATGATTTATTTTTAGCTTTAAACTTAGAAAACATTCCACGCACAATGCTTACAGATCAGTTTGAGAGTAATACTCTTATTTCTAAAAACGAAGAGTGCAAATCAAAACTGTCTCAACTATTAGCTAAATATGCTTCAGGAGACCTTATCGAATGTAAGGACACAAAAGACGTCATAATTTTATGTGGAGGGAGTGGTCCAGGAATTTATATAGGACATATTCTATTACCATTTTCTGATTACATGTCTCTAAATAATGTGTTTGGTTATGTAGTAGATGAGAAAAGATGGACAGAGTTCTCTCCCATGCCTTGTGCTATACGACGTCCTTTAATGGTATGTGATGATGTAGGAAATATCTTTATTTATGACCAATCAAATAATCTAGAAACCAACATCTATATTTATCAATACACCACAGCTGAAAGAACCTGGTCCAGTATTAAAGTTATTTTACCCGAAAACTCAGAACCATTTGCGGTGCTAAGTATGGTTATGTGTCAAAACCGACTCTTTTTCCTAGCTTCTGGTAATGTCGCAAAGCCTTCGTCTTCTTCAAGAAATGTGAAATCTTGGCAGTGTTTCTTATTGGAGGTAAACAGAGAAAATGGAGAAAGTAAAGTCAGAGCTATTCTATTTCCAAGAAATGAGAACAGTGAGGCTTCAGCTTGTGTCATCGCTAACCGCTATATCTGTGTTATAGCTTCTAAACTAGGAGATAAAGTCAAACCACGACAGAAGATTAATTCTGTTTGTGTTTGTTATGAAGTAGCTACAGACCGGGTAACTAAGTTACCGAAGGGTTGTAATAACGAACAATATCTCTTTGATTATGATGGTAACATCATGACGGCTCGACCTGGTAAAACTAATGTTAGAGTATATTCTTTTACAAAGAGAAAATGGGAGATGAGACGAGATCTGGCTATACCACTACCAGTGGAATTACCTGAACGTACAGACTACGCTTTCGTTAATCACAAGAACGAATTCTATATATTCGGTGGCAAAGGTGGAGAAGCCAAAGAACCGTTAAAAAGTGCTTTAACTTTTAGCCATGAAACTAAATCTTGGGAAAAACTAGAAGACATTCCAGAAGCTATATTTGGAAGTGGTATATGTGTAGGAAAGTTACCGTCTGACATGGTTCGTTGCCATATCAAGTGTCCTCATTGTGTTTATAGCACGCCGAGAAGTCGCGCTAATTACAACCTTGTTCATTCAGATTTAGATGATGAAGATGATGACGATGATTATTCATTGGACGACTATTCGTACGATTATAATTCAGATATGTCTCTATGGGAAGAAGATGATGATGAAGATAATATGGAATTAATAGATGACCCAGATGATTACTGGTTTTATTAAATATAAACTTTGTTTTATCTGTTACATTCACTTTACCCCCCCCCCCCCCCCATGCCATTTTTATAGGTTTATAGCGTCTTCAACATTGATTTTTGTATTTTTTTTAAAAAAAACCTTCCAAGGGTAGTTTCCATTTATTTTAACCAAAGAAGGATAGTTTGTTTTTGTGTCTGAGTCCGTTATAACTCATTTAATAGTTCAGTTATTTTACTATGTAACATTAATCCTGAGAAAGCTAATACAAACCTCGATTGAGAGTTTTTTTAGAGTAATAAAAATTAGTTATTTTTATGTGATGAAAATAGTTATTTTTATGTGATGAAAATAGTTATTTTTATGTGATGAAAATAGTTATTTTTATGTGATGAAAATAGTTATTTTTTATGTGATGAAAATAGTTATTTTTATGTGATGAAAGTAGTTATTTCCTTTCATATACTACCTAAACACATTTTGCCTTTAAGAACATGTGCTTTAATGATGGAAAATATATATTTAGTAAAAATTTATTCTATTATATGATACTTTGCTGCTATGTAGCTTTACATGCATATGAAGCAGATTTTAGTTGCTTTGTAGCTGGTAAACTACATGTATTCTTAGTTGCTGACAAAATCGTTCTTTTTCTAATTGCTGTAAAATGATAATGTGCTTTATATAGACTTAAAGAGCTTACTTATAAATACCTCAAGTATAAATTACTTGTGTACATTTTATTTATAAGTACTTTTGACTTCTATACACAAAAGCTTTCATATATTTTAATCAAAAATAAATACATGTGATACAAAATCATTATATTCCTAGTGTACTTGTACATTATTTTTAGGTACTTTTGACTTAAATTCACAAAAGCTTTCATGTACATGTATTTTAATCAAAAATAAATACATGTAGTAATAGTACACTATAAAATGGCCTTTTATTTACATATCTTTAATTATCGCTGAAAATATATACACTACTTGAAGATCTAGGGTAGTAGGGTTTGGTAATATTGAAAAAATCAAAAAATCACGATAGTATTTGAAAAAATATCACATTTCAGGTAGTGAAACAATCAATTAAACTATCAAATCACAGAGGTCAATGCTACTACCACAAAGGTCAATACTATGCATTTCACTTCACATTTTATCAAAAGTCCTATTCAAATGAGCTACATGAAACACAAAAATTTTTAATTTTAAGTTCCCATAAAGTCAAGGCAAGAATATTAAGATTCCATTTAAACACATGAGACTTATAAAATCATGAACAAAACATTGAGAATACTTCTATAAAAACCTATTCATTGATAGAAATTTTCTCCAAAAAAGCATTATTCAAACTATTTTTATCATACTGATATGTCACGGTAATGACAGTATTCAATATTTTTTTTAATATTATTTAATATGATAATACAGGTATATTGCCCAACCCTACTACTGGTAGGTAGGACTATATATGAATGAGAAATGTTAAGCTTAATATTAAGAGTTTTCTATCTTCCACATGCTTTGCTCAGTCTTATTTGTTATATGCATTTTGAACATTTCAACAATGATTTGATTTTTGATATTTTATTATGTTGATGGAAAAGAAGTTAAAATATATAAAGGTTGAAATTATGAACAGTATTTGATTGTTTTGTTTTTTTTTATGCTGGGCATGAAACATAAGACTTGCCATGAAACATAGAGCTGCCATTTAACTCTAAATGATTGAAGCAGATTATTTACAGTTGGAAAATGAGTCTGGATGACTGTTTTCTCAATTTAAAGGAAAATAACTACTCAGTAAGCTTTATGAACATCTTGGTCGTAATAATTGTAAGAATTTTCCAAACTTCTATCCAGATTATCTCCCTTACTATTGTTTTAAAAAATATGACATTCTAGCGCATGATGTCAGCTGGTAGACTATCGCCATTCAGAATACAACCACTGTCAAGACAGGTTGCATTACGTCTTTCTTGTAAATCATTGGTTTTTTTTTTTTTCATTTCGAAAGAAATCTGCATTATTACTTAAAATTAAACCATGTGTTAGTTCCAAAATGACCTAGTTTGTGTTGAGTAGACGCTAAACCCCATTTATCTGTCTCTCTCCATAGGTTTGTCTTATCAGTTTTGTTTTGTAAGTAGTGCAGTTCTCCTGTACTTGCTATTATAGTTGCTGTTCCATATTTGCATTTTTTGAGACAAATCTATATCATTGCTTAAAGGGACTATCCCGATTTGAACAGTCTCTAAAATAAAAGTCTGAGTTTGTATGAAATTTATGCACCAAAATATAGAGGAATGGTGTATTTACCTTATCTCAAAATTTCAGCTAAAAAAATTAAGTCGTTTTGTTGTGAACGCCAAAAAAGCTTTTCCGGACATGTGACCCTTTTAAGATTTCGGGTCAGTTTTTACGTTGGGTGACCTGGTAATCAATTGCTGTTCCTTTAGAGGTCTATACAGTGAATGACCCATGTGCTGTACTTTATAACGAAAGGTAAATTTCACCTACACATTATTTTTGTAAAATAAAAGTCTGGTTTTATCCACACACCAGTCTCCATTTTCAGATGAAGACTGACAGGTTTAAGTTGTTTTGAAAATTAATCACGTATATTGAGTTAGTTGCTCGGACCTAAGGAAGAGGATTTTAAGGGCTTTTACCACAAAATTAAGCAGTTTTGTTCTCCAAAATATTATCGGGTTTATCCCTTTAATTCTTCCAAAAATGTACCATACTCAAATTGGTTATTTAACAAAATATCAGCAGAAAATAATTTCCCTGTTTGGATTCAGTTAGATTAAAAAGAGGTCCATCAAAAGATTTTACCCAACAGTAACAGGTGGCACTGACTTGTTTATAATGTCGCAGATAAATCCGATGGAATTGAACTATATTTGGACTGACATTCCTGTCACAAAATGGTAGTCTGCTACCCATAGCCTATGGGCATATGTTACGTTGCCTGGCTCATTCGGTTGGTTCTTGTGTGTTAGGTAGCCCAGTTTATGTAAAGCAGTATCTTGGTAATTGTCAAAAAAAATCAATTTGCCATGTTAGGGTGGGTCATTGCTAGGTACAACCCACACCCCTAAATTTTAAATCCACAACTTAATGATAAATGGCATAAGTAAAGATATGTAATGTTGACATAATACTGTTGTCATTTTGTGACTAACATGGTGTTATTTACTTGCCTTTTTAAAAAAATTTTCACATTTCCAAATTCAAATTGTCAGTTCATTTACATGCAGGAATATACCTAATGCTTCCCATGGCAAGTGGCTTGAAAGATCTTGTGATACTTGTGATAATAGTAACATTCATATGGAATTCAAAAACTTTCGTGTGATATTTTATATAAATAAATAAACAACAAACAAACAAAAAAAAAACTCTTCTGTAACAACCCAATGGCAATGCACATGAATTCTACTATGCTCAGTTAACAGGTTTTTATTTTGTTTTATAAATGGATTTATCTCCCTTATATCTATGGAAAAAATGAGACTTCGCCTTATGCCGGTAATTTACTCTATTTGGTTAATTTAATAACATCTTTGGTTTAATATATAATTTACAAACATTAACTTGCCATGAGATTTTAAAGAAAAACAAATCTGTCCGGCCTGTTGTCAGCTTGGAAACTGTAATGTTGTCAATAAAAATTCTGACGACAATCACACCACAGACTCGTTCGTGTGGGTCTATCGTAACAGGTGTGTGCATAATGTTAATTGATGTACCATAAACCTCACAATATTCTGATACTAACAAATTCCAACTAACTATCGCGTCAAAACAAGACAACCCAACAGCTAATTGTACTCATGCTGACACAGTTCTTGAAAGTGTCATAACGCACGTTTTGTCTAGTGCAGACGATATTGCACAGTCAGTGCTCGTGGTATATGAAAAAAATACCATCCAATCAAAATGCTCGTAATGGCGAAGGAACGGTTTGATGAAGTCGTGTGTGTCCAGACATATGTGATAATTGGATTTTCCATGGGATAATTTCGCAGCTTGATAGACGAGACTAGGCTTAAAGGAGAGACGTGTGTTAGGTGAAGTTTAAATTCAGTGTGTTTACGATTTGTGGTGTGGAGAAGGATATGTATCGCCCGTGATAGTAAGAAACTGATCACCAAGAGCATGTATTAATTACTTGATTGGATATAATGGATAAACCGACCAGGCTTCGATCCCCGCTTGTTAAAAGAAAGAGCAAAATTTTGCCCGTCAACCAAAGGGTGAGTTTATCTGTTGACTTTTTATTGAAAGATAGAAAATTAAACCCAGTTTCAGATTTGAAATTTAATGCCATTCAGTGACAGTTTTGGATGATATCTCATTTTTTCAGAAAAACATATTTTATATTTCGATAAATTCACGTGACATCCTTGGTTTTTCAAACCAAAATCTTTGGGGTATTCATTTTTGTCATCAAAAATTAAAACAAGTGTTAATTTCAATGGCAATGCTTTGTCATTGTCAAATCGATGTCAGTGAATGAATGTGACATGAATCAGCTGCCCATATGCATATGGATAGCAAAATTTTAAATATATCCTTCATTTTTTGATCATGGCAATTTTTAAAAGACTATACTATTATCTGGATCCTAATTTAAATTACCCTACCTTCAAATATACATTTACCCATCATATTATATTAAACTGGTGATTCAGAAAATCTTATGAACTGAGAGAAAACACCACAAAGATAAAGTTCATATTCTCCCCTTCTTATAACACTAACTGCAGCTGCTACTTGCCCTTTCTTCTTTGCCTTTATTTTGGTTCAGTTTTTATTAGGTTATTAAATCTTAGGTTATTTTGAGTTGTTTCAATTACATTTACAGTTTATTTTGTGAAAAAATAGTACCATAATTTTTTTTTTTAAGAAGTAGACCTACCACTTCAGAATCATCTATTATTCAACTAGCTAGTTTTTCACAATAATGAAGTAGAATGTGGTAGTATTAAGTTAATTTGGGTATTAGGGTAAATGTCCTGCAGTGCCAGACTGCAATAATCATGTACTTGTATTGTCAGGAAGTTGTGATATTAATTAGACATAATAATAGTTTTCTCACACTAATAAGGTCAGACCATGTGCATTTACATGTATACAGCGAAATGTTACATTAATGTGAATCATAATATATAACACCACATGGTTATCACAAATAATAATCATTTATTTCCTACTTTTTATCATTCTTTTCAACAATTACATATTTCATAATATTATATTTTATAGGCTCTTCATGAGTATCATACTTGTGTAATTCTGTGTACTATTTCAATGAAATATTTATGAAAGTATACTGTCTATGCATAACTGTGCATTATACATGTTATACTGGTTAACTGTGAGATTTATTTGAAGTGGCACATTTCGTGGAATTAAAAAAAGAAAGTGCCGGTTTTGTGAATTAAAGATTTTATGATGGATATTGATATCTGGTTCTGTGTTCAACAGTTGGAAGTAAAAAATAAACTAAATTTAGTTAACAAACTGGCCTCTGTTTATTTTTTTTAGAACAAAATTCTTCTTGTATATTTCTTATCCTATTGTTAATGAAAATAGCACAAAAAATTAATTCAATTCAAAAATTGAAATTGACCCAAATCAATCAGATTTTGCTCCTTTCAGTTTATCAGTAAAGACTAAAATGAATTCTAGATGCCATTCTGTGACAGCATATAATGATATCATAGATTAAACACTAACATAGAATACAATAACTAGAGTAGAGGCACAGAACAAGAATATGATATTCCTGAAATCGTTTGCTACTTTCATTTTGATGATGTAATTTACTTCTGATTAATAAGCTTATTGAGTGGGTGGATAGGTGGGACATTCCATTATAAATCAATAAAGATTGATTGATTGAAAATAACTACAGGTATGACTCAATTAACAATCAATATTACTAATGATGACTGACAGTAAGATTGCAACATACACAACGTTTATGACACAGGTAAACAAGAAATCCAATAAATAATATCTACCGATACTTGGTGGGCCTACTTACATTAAATGATCCATATACATGTCCCTGTTAAACCTCATATGATGAGTGATATCTTGCAATTGCAACATGAAAATAGTTTATTAGACAGGAAAAGAAAAAATCCAATATATATACGCATGTAGACTACCCATAATTTATAGGCCTATGTTATAACTACTTACATTAAATGATTCACATACATAACATGTAACCTCATATATTGTGCTTTATTGATACCCTTTTTGTTTGGTCTAAAACATTATGGTTGTACAAAATAGAGAAAGTTAGTAATAAGAAAGTTAGGTGCGAAAATGACGGTCTCAGTATATACAAGAGGTGAGCTTGAGATGTCTATCGACTAATTAGTACGATATTGATTTGATTTGTAACTTGAAAGTTGTTATTGTTACCAGTACTGGTATGGATGCAAGTAAATGTAATAAGTGTATTATACTATGTAATTTAGACATGAGCTCATACATTTGTATCTGCTAGTACCAGACAATTTATAACTATATAAAATAAGAATTTTATAAAAAAGAAATTACCCGGTTTCCATATACCACACACCGGAATTAATATTAATTGGAGATATTTTAGAAGTAATTTATATATGCAATAAAATGTGTGAAATTTTTTACCATTGGGGGTGTACATTTTAGTTTTGTGTAAAAGAATTCGAATACATATATTATAGAGAATATTTTGTCAGACATGCTGTAAGAACAGGTTAAGATGTGATGACCTTACGATGGGGTTATTTAAGTGGTGTTATATAATTATTTCTATATGTTATTGTATAGTTTCAAGTAATAAGTTTAAGATGTATAGAAGTTGACAGGAACATGTCCAGATTAACAGAAGGATGAATAAATGAGTTGTTTATTACAGGTATAATGACAGGATGCATGACTGATTAAATAAACATTATGATGATGTGCCTGTATGGACATATAATGTTGCATTATACATCAACAGATTTTTAAAAAAAAAACGCATTTAGATTATATAGAATGCTTACCAGTATATTGGTATTGTAATTTGGTTTTGACTATTTATGACAAAAAGCATTGGTCCCTGACTTTAAGGTGGTTTGCCCTAAGGCAGGCTTCAGATGGCTACATACATATTTAAAGCTAGTTTAAAAAATGCTTAAATACTTCTAAAAAATCATGAAGAAAATAATATCTGACATTTGATATCTGAATAATATAGAAAAAGAACATTTTTTCAAGATTAGAAACATCCACTTTTCCTAATGAAGATGATCTATTTATAAAGTTTATCGAGTTCCCCTCTCTCTCTCTATATTGACTGAAACATGAACTCAATAATAATTTAGAGTCTGCTACCTTCCTTGTGAATACCCGGCCAGATTCAATCAATGTCTGTGATAATTGGCCTCTAAATGAAATTGAGCTGACTATAGTGATTTAGACATTCTTCATGTATTGTCTATCAGTATGGTATGGCCATTAATACCAGATGATCTTCAAATGGTTTATTATTATAACGATAATACTAGTCCAAAAAGGAGTGTTTAGTGCCCCCCAGTCGTCTTGTCCTTTGAATTTGCAATATGCCGAATGTGTGACAGTGTTATTGTAACTATCAAAAAGCCTATCCTTTATAACCAGCCAAGTGTTTATCAATTTTCCCTTTTGATCTTTAGTTATTGTAGTGAGAACTACATGTCAAGATATAACTCAGATCGATCAATCTGTCGAAGTAATTTAACCGACAAAGTAATAGGTTGGTCTAACTGAAACTTACAAAGCACAAAACAAAATTTGTTTGGGGAAAGGAAAGACTTCTAATACCAATAGATATTCGACATTGTGCATATGTATGTTCTACAAGCTGTTCTCACTGAAAGTTGGAGAAAAATTCTAGACCATCTTTGACATGGCTTTTCTTTTACATCACATTTATTGCGGAATTCATTGCTGAGATGTAAATAGAATTTGAAAGTCTGGTTCTCTAACAAAACATTGTCTTGAGAAACAAGACTTGTACATTAATCATCCATTATAGTCAAGATAACCAAGACTAGATAGTGAGTAATGCCGTGAGCTGCAAAATGGGCAAAAAAGCTGGGTCAGAGTGTTTTCACTGAGGATTCTAAAACATTTTGTTTGGCATTAACCCTTTTTTTTTTCATTAATTTTTTCAGATGAAAACCTCACCTTTAGACACTTTTCCGCACTTTGCTTACTATTATGATTTTTCCCCTGTTTGCATTTTGTATCACCTATCTTCTAATAGAAACATTATCTCGTACTTTGTACACATGCACATGTTGATTACAATACACATGTATACACATCCAACAGAAAAAATCTGCCATGTGAAACATACCTTATCTTGCTGTCAGTCAATAATAAACATATACCTGTCTGTTTCATCCATCATCATCATTGTAATAAAAACATATTTTACTGATGAATATCAAGATATTAGTCTACTCTGTCTACTAACTTACCATTTACATTCCTTTTTACCTTTAAACTATAAACATATGGTACAGATTCCAAGATGACATGATCATTACCCTAAAGTATGTCCCAAAACATTATCTGCAGGTAGGCCTACCACGTTTATAAAAGTAATGTTTTGTTAATCTCAGCTTTTAACGACAATGAATATTTCTATGCACAAGTGAATTATTGAAATAAAATTGAACCATATGTTAGTCCCAAAATGACCTAGTTTGTGTCGAGTGGACATTAAACCCCATTTCTCTCTCTCTCTCGCTCCAGCCCTCAGTTTTTACATGTATCATCAAAAGAAACCAGGCTAGAAAATCCTGAGAAAATTTCTTGGTCAACACTTGGATTGAACCTGTGACCTCCCATCTTAAATAGAAGGCTTGATCTCGCTTTAACTCCGTACATCTTATCAAGCCCTCCACGTTATACCGTGCATATTTAGGCACTAATTTCGATTGTCCACCGACCCTGTCTGGGGCCTACCAGATTTCTCGATCATCGTGAATACCAAGTCTCGCGCTTTCCAGCTAAAATGTCTACCTGTGATGATCGAGTTGCAAAGTTAAACGTTCGTTCAATGTCAAGATTTCAGTGGAGGTCGCCATGTTTGATTTGAGTGTGTTTGTGTTACAACCTCTGTTCGGATGCTATTGTAAGCCAGTGCCATAGTCACTGAGCCACCATAGCTCCATGTACAAATGGGGTGCATTGGCTGCCAATATGTGTAATTTACATG